GATGTGGTCAAGCTGAATCATATTCAAGAAAGGCGGAGAGCCATAATTTTCACCATTAGAAAAGAATCCAAAGGGAAATAAAAAAATAAAAAAACCTTATTAAAAACCCTAAGTTTATTCATCTCCATCACCTTCACAATTCAAATTGCGGTAGAAATAAGGAGCAGACCCACTTTGATGTAAGCATTTGAGCATTCATAGCCATGGCTCAAGGAATCCATCAGCCGCACCGATCAAACTTTAGCCCCTAAATTTTCTCACCGAATTGCGTGAAGAAGGCTAACGCCGGTTCCGCAAAGATGAAACAATTGATTTTATAGATTACAACTGAGTGGGAGGATATGGCAGTGCGAATAATCATTTCCGGTGAAATTGCAGGATATTACCGGTGGTGCGGTGAATGGTGAGGTGAAGTTATTAGTTGGTGGAGAAAAGAACGACACAACAGTCAAGAGTCAAGAGAACTGTACTCTTATTTCCAGAACTTTTCTTTTTTTTGCCGGAACTCGTCGTGGTTTTATGATCATTTCACGCGTTTCCAGCTGTTGACTCTTGTTTCACCCCGTCAAAGGGGTTTTGGTAGAATAGCCGATACTCGAGGGGGAAACGGTAGAAAGGTCAAAACTCTGGGGTTGGGGGTGTTGGTGGTGGGGGATTTGGGAATGTAGTTCGCCCGTTCTTAACCTTCGCAGAAGAATAGTTTCAAGGCAACCATAGGTTTGTGTCCAGAGCGCATTTAGCTTCTCGTCAGGCTTGATACTTACTGCGATGCTAATTAGACTTTGTACCTGCTTCATTAAGTTACCAGTACCACAAAAATGTGGATAATATAATTGTTATCAAATTCTGCACGTAATGTGACATAACATTTGACAGAAAGCAAGCTTTTCACTTGGGTTTAAATAATGGAAACTCCATAACACTTCCACCCAATGCATGTAGTTCAAAAAAATTAGTTTAGTCATTTTAAGTATGAAAAACTATAAGTATAAGAAAACCAGTGAAATATTCTTTCTTGCAAGTTTCATTAATTTCCAAAAACTTAGATTAGTGGAAAAAATTACTCTTTGAAGCTTTTAAAGATTGGTGGAAAAAATCAATCTTTGAAGTTTCAGAATAAGACAACATTTGATTCTCTGAACTTATTAAGCAATAAGAGCAAAAGGTACCCGGATTGAAGAATCACCAGCAACATGAGCATTAAGGTTGTTAAGGTAGTATTGAGCACGGAAAAAGAAAAGATTGAGAATGGCAGAATAGGAGCCAATCGGGTAACCATTTGACCCCAATCTGGAAAGAGATACTAATAAATATGCAATCTGGCCGACCTGGTGTGTTTGAGCTGCCAATCATAGAGATGACCTTGTCCTGGGCTTGTAGCAGTGTGATTCCAAGGTAAAAGAGCAATAGAGACAATAAATCTAGCGACAAAAGATCCAATTCCATCTCCCCGAAATGTAACGGCAGGTCACCGCCGGACAAATTGTATGGACATTTACGAATCAGATCAAGAGCGGGGAGCGGCCTTCGTCTTCCTCACTGCAATTTCCGTATGACCGCCAGCTTCCGCAAAGTGATGAACAACTTTGCGACCAAAGCCACTTGTGGAATCGGTGCCCATGAATCCGATTCTGTAAAATTCTTGGTGGGGTTGGCTTTCTTTCCTCAACAAATTAAATTGCTCTCCCACCATTTGGTAACTGGCTCTTGCACGATGGAGATAAAATCATCCACCGTGATATTGGTGCAAACTGTTAAGATTACAAAACATTATAAAATCAAATTCAGGACTAATAGGATTTTATCATCCACCGTGATAAAATCAAATAAGATTACAAACGATTACAAAATTTGTTGAGATTTTGTTTCCTGTCAGAAGTCTAATGGAATTAAAACTCGGAAACGATCCTCTATTTGACAGATTAACGCTGGATTCCCACTTTTTATTTTTTTGGTTCATTTAATTATGAAGAAATTAGAGAATTGCCACATAGGATTAAATCTTACGAGGCATAGGAAAAATGAACGAAGCTTTCTCTCTCTGATTTTTACTTTAGTATAATAATAATAATAATATAATATATATATAATATAATATAATATATAATAATATATAATATAATATATATATATATATATATAAAAATAGATATAGATAGATAGAATAGATATAAATAGATTCCAAGTTTGAACTTGATTCTTTATCACTTCACATTTACGATTTAAAATAGGATCACATCCGATATATTTCAAGATTGGAATGTATTCTTATCACATAAATTATGAAATAATTTCATAATTAGAGGGAATCATTGTCATTGATCCCAGTATCCTTCCCCAACTAGAATCCTTATCTGTTCCGCATTAAACCATAAACCTTAATTCAAGGACTCCACAAATCATGCTCAAGTTTTGAATCTTTTTCTTATCTTAGTGCCGCCTAAACTCAGTAACCCTAATCAGAATTGCGCGCGCGCACACACACACACACACACACACACTCTCTCTCTCTCTCTCATACAGGCGTTCACCATCTCAAAATTTGCACACACACACACACCCACACACACACACACTCACTCACTCACTCTCTCTCTCACTCTCTCATACAAGGCTAACATTCCGGACGCCTTAGCTTTTAATTTATTTGATTCTTTCTTGGGTGCCAAAGCCAGACTAGGACAAGAGGTTATGCTGAGAGGTCTCCAAAAGCTGCATCAACGTGGCGCCTGTTTCGGAGACATCTGTTTCACCTCAGTCGTGATTTTTGATGATGCATAATGTTTTGGATTTATTGTTTTCAACGAGGAAGCCGAGGAAAGGTGCAGTTTCATCTCCGCTGAAGTCCCATATCATGGTGATTGAGTTCTAATTTGGTCTGGCAAGATTGAGGGGTAAAGAAGATATTGGATAATAATGCCACACGTTTTATTATATATTCTTAGATGATGAAGAGAAAAGGTAAGAGAGAAAAAAAAAACATGTAAATTTTGGGGTGCATCGTTCAATTCAATTCTTCAATTGAATAATTTTATTGAAAAGAATTTGAAAACCCCCGCTCCTTTATCTCGAACCCACCCAATTCACACGTACAATCTCACATTGCTCTCTAGCTACGGATAAAATCATTTTTTTTTTTTTTGGAAATTTTTGTTGTGTATGTAACGATGGACATTTAATCAATCAAATGTAGAGATGTGCTACTGGATATGACATTTTCCTTGGATGGCTCTTGGATCTCTAATCTTGGTAGGTACATACTTGCATATCTTTGGTTACTTTTTTTTTTTTATGGTGACACAATCAGTTTTACAATTTTGTTTTCCATTAGTAACATAAATGTTGCCTTTTTTTTCCTTGTGTAGTGAGGATTGAACTGTGAAAATTTTATGTTTATTGGTAAGAATCATTTATAGTTTTACATGGGGAAAAAATCTAAATAGCACGATGAGATTGTCACGTAGTTAGATGACGTGGGACTTGGATTCCTTTTTTCTTCTTTTTTTGACTAAGGATTCCTTAATTATTGATTTTCTTTCGTAAGCATTCATAATATTTTCTGCGATCTTTTTATAGTAGAGAAAATAGGGCCTTTGACGTTGATGTTTATGGTTTAGTAGTAATAGTGTTTTGGGTTATGGTGTTCAATCTTCTCTTTTGTTCAAATTTCATTTAGTTTCTATGATTAGTGTATACTTTAAATTCAGAGAAGCTTCTCTTCTTTTTTTCTTTCTTTTTTTTAAAAAAAGAATGTTCAAATGAAATACGGAACATTGAATTCATAAAATAGTATCCTAAAACATCTAACCCTCCCCCAAAAAAACCAAAGAACCAAAGAATTATAATTATATACATATTATATGAAAAAATATTCATTGCTAAACTGTGATACAAAGTGAAATAAATCTAAGATCACACTCAATTAGTAAAAATATTTTTTTAACTATACAATTCTCTTCCAAAATAATATATTCTTTGAATTATTAAACTAATATGTAATATATTATATCACCCGCATAATGTGCGGGTTTAGTACCAGTTATTATTATATAAATTATAGGAAATGGTCTAAGTAGGAACGGCAGACTTAAGGCGATGAGTAGTGGATCTCGGGCATACCTAGAAAATTACATACAATTCAAGATACTAATCTTCACTCAGTGCGGGTTTTATTCCAAATTTTAAAATCAATCATCCCCCAACTCCTCCTACCAATGAGAAATTTTAAGATGCACATGAAATCTTGTATCAATAATATTACGAATGAAGTACCGTCTAAAAGTCGGGTAGAAGTGAGTACAAAAGTGATTAATAATGAGAGAAATAACATGTGAGACTTTTATGGGTACTTTTTGAATTAATTTATTTATTTATTTTTTATTTGAAATAAGAGAACAAGAAACTATTTTTTTTTTACAATTTTTACAAATACCTAAGCTATTACATATGTGAGTTTGGAGAAGGGGGACCTACTACTAGCCTAGTCTAGTGGGGGACAACTCCATGCTTGCAACGCCTCTTTCCGCGCGTCCATCGGGTGTTTGAAGAGCTTACAACTATAACCTACAAAGAAAGGTCGTATTTTGCTGCCGTGGGGTTTCGAACCCAAGATCTCCGGATTGGATGCCTAGTCCTTTACCACTTGGCCACCCTTTGGCAGGAAATATACATGTTAACTGTGAATTTCATCGATGACAAAGTAAAGGCTCCACAGTTTGACTTTCCATTCTCATATATCGTCCCAATTTCGTACTAAACAATACGGTTTTGGCAGAAACTAGGGGAATACTTTTAAACTTGGTGCTACGATTTTATAAATATCAAGAAACTAGCATTAATTATTTGGGTTTGCGCGTGATTTGGCTCTGTTTGTTCATGTGATTGGCTATTTAAATATCAAGCTTAGCCCAGTCTAGTCAAGAATTGGTGAACGTGCATCGCTGCGCCCATGTGTTTTTCGTAAGTCGAAAAGAGAGGTCATATACATTCTGCAAGAGTAGAGAAAGTCCAATTGCGGTTAACAGAGAATACAGAGAAGCCATATTTCGGAATTGCTTTCACATTTTTCCAGAACCTCAGGAAACAAGATGGTCCGAACTCCGACTTGTTGTGGTCAAGTTGGAGCACTTGTTACTGCAGGCTGCCTGCGGTCAACTAAAACCCCAAGGGAGACGATGACTAGCATCCCAGTTTCCCCTTCTTCTTGTTCTGCTTTAGAGGAACTGATTGAGAAGTCTAAGCTTGATTCTGAGTCATACGATTGGATCTCAATCAGAGTGGGGCTGGAATTTATTCGAACGTTTCTCGAATTCGTCTGCGAGTGGAGTAAAAGATATGAGATTGTTCGAAAGGAGGTGGGAGATGTTGCAAGTGGCATTGAAGCTGCATTTGAGAAGGCAGGCCTAGAGTTTGGACGGGCATTCCGAAAGCGAGATGCGAAGCAGCTGGATGCAGTTCGATCCTGCTTGCAGGAAAAGATTGAGCTGTTCAAGCCAAGAATCAGAGAAAGTTACGGCTTCTTCTTTGAGTACGCATTTCAACCCACCCCAACAACTAGTAGTTTCACTCCCATTGCTGGTTATTTAACCTGGACTGGTTTGTGTCGTCGTCTGGGTACTAATGCGTCTCGTCTCAATTCCGACTTCCATCTGGGCACTCTTCTGTGCCAGCAGTTTCAGGACGTTGTAGCTGCCTTACAAATCTATGGAGAAAATTCCTTGTATCAGACCTTTTACAGCGAATCATCCAAGAGCTTTCGCTTTCTTGTGGAAGGTGTTGCAATCTGTTTAGCAGGCCTCCTCTTTCTATGGTGGGTTGACAACGACACGGATGACGCGAACAAGACTATCATGCTCTCCAATCAGCTGCAGAGAATTAAGCCCACATCTCCACAGTTCTTGCGGATGTATATCGAATCCTTCAGTGCCCAATGGAACCCTACATTTGGCCTACGTCTCTCCTATCTAGTAAGAATCTCTCTTATTCCATCCAAGCAATGGCTTGAAACGTTGCATGATGGACTCCTGTTTCTCCTAAGACATCTTTGCGATCCAGTTACTGAACTATCACCCGCTGAGGCAGAGGAACTCCAAAGATCGAGAATTGTAAGACTTATTTGTGATGCAGCTTCCAGGAATTACTTCTCAATTGAACCTCATGATGATGAACGACTCTTCCAGTTGCTTCAAGAGATTGAGCTTCTCAAATCAGAGCTCGTTATGACGGCAATCGAAGCAGGTCACCATATCCCAAAAGCAACATTCAACTCCATTCGAAAAGGGTTCAGATTTCTGCAAACGTTCCTCGGACGTACTAGTACTACTGATCAGGATGTGAACTTGGAAAAGTTAATCTTGGTTTTCAATCACATTGAAAAATTGGCTATTGAGGGAAAAGCTCTCCGTTTCGTACTGAGGGGGAAGCAAATCCACGATGATGCACGCAAGTGCAAGTTGGTGCTTCTTTTCAAGCTCACAAATATTCATTGCTTCCTTATGGAGCAAATGAGATGCAAACCCAGTTTGATGTTCCCCGTGAAGCACAAAATCCATGCTCTACATGACGGATTGGAACTCTTTTACAAGCACATCTCAGTACTTTCATGGGACAAATCTGATGCTAAGAAGCTGATCTTGTCCTGTAAAGCCAAAATAACGGAGGCGCTCACACCTATCTGCTACTTTTTCCAATCTAATCAGGTTACGGGGGACACCATCCACAATATCTCTTCGCTTCTTTCCGCATTGCTGCAAAGGGTCAATGTCCTGAATTCCCATATCCAAGGTCGTTATCACCGATCTCAGTGCTCGTCAGTCAACTTTCCAAAAACTCACCCAGGATTAGGCTTTCTTGATTTGTTCTGGGAAAATGTGAGTAGTTTGATGACAAACTTGGCTGATTCGATTGGATATTCAGAAAGGGCCCAGATTGAAGCAGTCCTCCGAGAGCTCGACTCCCTGAGATCTGTAATGGAGGAGGTTGGGGAAAAGCGAATCGAGACTCCGCAGCTGAAGAATCTTCGGAGACATGTTACACAGGTAGCATACCAAGCGGATTATGTCATTGACCGGATTCTACTGGTGAAATGTGATTGGTATCATTTGTTGTGGCTTTCAAAAGTTGCGGATGAGATGAAACTCATTAAGTCAGAGTTCACCAAAATTATGCAAATGAACAATGAATTTGTCGTGGTAAGTGATGTGGTCCAGACTTCAGAGCACATCGGTATAGGAGCTAGAACTCTAGAAGCTGGGGAGGTTGTGATTTCTCTGAAGGATCAAGAAGAGATCATCATTGATCGACTTCAAAGAGGGTCAAATCAGCGGCGTCAAGTTGTTGCAGTAGTCGGGATGCCCGGTATTGGGAAAACAACATTAGCTAGAAAAGTTTATGAGAATCCCGAAATCACTAATTATTTCCACAGACGTGCATGGTGCTGTGTTACTCAACACTACCGGAGGCGGGAACTGTTGCTCAAGATTTTAAGTGACATTGTGGAGACGACCCATGGGATCCATACTAAAACTGATGACGATTTGGTTGAAATGCTATACAAGAGTTTGAAGGGATATCGGTATTTAGTAGTTATGGATGATGTTTGGAGCAGTGAACCATGGGAAGAACTCGGAACTGTGTTTCCTGATGATTCCAAGGGAAGTAGAATCTTGTTCACCAGCCGCTCTGAGAAGGTGGCCTCGAAAGCTCAACGTGACGGTGTTCCTCATCCTCTTCGGTTTCTCACCGACGATGAAAGCTGGAGATTGTTAAAGGAAAAAGTATTCAGTGGTGAGGCTACATGCCCAGAGGAGTTGAAGGAAGTCGGCAAAGTGATTGCAAACAGTTGTGAGGGTTTACCGCTTGCGGTTGTTGCAATAGCTGGAGTCCTGAAAAGAACAGAGAGAAAAGTTGAGCAGTGGAAGAAAATTGAAAAAGATTTGGACTCTCGGATTCTAGAAGAACCAGAACACCACTGTATGAGCATCCTTGAAATGAGCTACAATCACTTGCCAGATGACCTAAAACCGTGCTTTCTTTATTTCGCAGCTTTCAAGGAGGTCTATGAGGTTCCAGTTGAGAAGTTGATACAATTGTGGACAGCTGAGGGTTTCATAAGGAGGATTGATCTCAAGGCATCACTGGAGGATGTGGCACGGCGTTATGTAATGGATCTCATTAGTAGAAGCTTACTGATGGTTGCCAAAAGAGGATCCGATGGTGGTGTCAAAGCGTGCAAAGTCCATGATATGCTCCATAACTTGTGCTTGAGGAAAGCCGAGGAAGAAAACTTTTTGCGGCGCGTAAACGGGTACGAGACTCTTTTTCCCTACTCTATTAGTGGATTAGACTATGGCCATGATTGGGAACATCCACCGGTTTCAATACAATATGAGCAACATCGACTAATCATTCATGCTAAGAGAAAGCATTTTACCCTGTTAGCGCCTTCTGGAGCACCTGTTCGCACTCTTTTGTTTTTCGCTACCACTGACTCATACCCCAGATGCCCTTACGATGTCTCCTTCATTCCTTACAAGTTTAGACTTCTTCGAGTGCTGGATATTGAAAGTATCAACGTTGGTTCTTCTTTCCCGGAAGGAATTGAATTGCTGACTCCGTTGAGGTACCTAGCTATTAGTGGAAATATAACGTCCATTCCATCTAAAGTAGCAAAGCTATGGAACTTGGAAACTTTTATCGTCAACGGATTGATGGGAAAGGTGACCTTGCCAAACACTATTTGGAAGCTGTCGAGTTTGAGACATCTTCATGTGAGCACCCATGCTGCTTTCAATTGGCAAGATGGAGGAGGAAGCCTTCAGAGTTCTTCTCAGTTAGGTAATCTGGTTACTCTATCCACTCTTGTTCTTTCACATGGGGACAACTCGCAGGAGATCCTCAAAGTGTTTCCCAGGCTTCGAACATTAGGAGTCATTATTTCCGCACCCGATCAGCTGTCTGAAAACTGCCTCCCCCTTCCGGTCATGGATTTCCTCACCGAACTTGTGTCGCTCAAGATGAATTACCAGGGCAGTGAGCTTCTTACCTGTCAATTCAGCTTCCCTTTGAACCTCAACAAGTTGTCCCTCTCCGGCTTCAGCTTAACATGGGATGACTTTTCAGCCATTGGAGAACTGCCCAACCTCAGAGTTCTCAAATTAGTTTCTATATCTTTTGACAGCGAAACATGGGACATGAAAGATAATGAATTCCAACAGCTTGAATGTTTAAAGTTAGATTCTTTGAAGCTTGTTGGTTGGAATGCATATAGTGATCACCTCCCAAACATTCGGCGACTAGTCTTGCGAAGCTGCACCCAGCTTCAGGAAGTCCCTTCTTGTTTTGGTGAAAGCAATACTCTGCAGACAATTGAGTTGAAGTGGTGCAGCGCCACTGCAGAAGATTCAGTCAGGATGATTCAAGAGCAACAGGTTGAATATGGAAACGAGGGATTCAAGACCATTATCAATGTTCCAGATTCAGATTCTATATCTTCTTTATGATTTGTTGATCACGAATTTAGTGCAGGTTCTGCTTCTGTTTCAGAAATTATACACATATAAGTTATTCTACTGTACAATGATTGTGTGTACTTTATTCTTCACATTGTACATGTGTGTGTGTGTGTGTGTTTTAATCTCAGAAACAACGAATCTGAGAAAGCATTGGAAGGCATTTCACCTCTCTTTTTACGGAGATTTTTATCCATTGAATTTGTTGGAACTGAGCACATTTTCCACGGCTTATGCTCTGACTCTGTATAATGAATTTGAGAATGAATTGATTCAATCAGTTTCTAGGCTGTTCCTCTGCTGTGTATAGTACTTTACTTTTGAAGCTCTTAAATAGCCAAGGAACAATAATTAGGCAATTTCTTCTTCTTCTTTTTTTTTCTTTTTTTTTTTTTGCTGCAAAATAGTTTGCAATTTCATTTATTGATTCACAAGCTTCAGGAATTCACTGTAATCGAAGCCGTATTTTGTAATCTAAAATGAAAATTTCGTGTATCTACGTGGTTAATATCGCAAGTTTCTTCAAATTGATGACATTCCAGTCCACTCCCGTCTCCCGTCGAAGTACACACCTATCACTTCCAACACTATTGTTACATTTTTCAACATTTATGGTTTGAGAACATTGTGCAGTTTTCACCTGTCGATCATTGATCGTTCAAATTTATTTAAATGTTTGAACATGTCATAGCTTAACATGGATCACCTTGACGAATTCAGTCTCCATTTATCCGATCACAAGACGAACATAATATGCCAAAAAAAACAAATAAGCATACTGTTACATCTTTTCCTATGAATACAACAAAAAAGTTCGCTTAACAAAAATAAACAAATAAGCATACTGTTACATCTTATCAAATAAAAACTTTTTTCAACATCTAACCTTTGGATATTTGAGTGTTATGTCCGGTAATTATACTTCAAAGACAATTATCAAAAGTTATCAATTTTGCATTCAGGTTTACTAGCACACCTATCACTTGTGTATCCTTATGTAGCACCTAACTAACTACAAAAGAAAATTGGTATTTATTTAGAAAAAAATAAAAGTAAAAAACGAACTAATAAAGTGAATCTTTTATACTCCAAAAACTAGTTCATCTTTGGATTAAGCTAAGTCTATTTGTACAGCCAACGTTTTACAATAACCTTTTGACCGTAATCAAATGATCCAAAGCATGCAGTTCATACTCATTGACCATCAAGATCGATTACTCTACCAAAATTATTGTGATGGATTACTTCTTTTCGCAGCAACAGAATTCAATTCCTAACACGCCCTACACGATACATCTCGTGATTCTCATAAATGATTTCACTTTTGACCTCCTTCTTCCATTCCCCCGGAACCGTGACAATGAATGAACCAAACTGAGCCCACGGCCACACCCAGATGACCCTACTTTTGTTAGTTTGGTCCAATCAGAGGAGAACAAATGTGCCTCGTGAACCCCACACCATAAACAACACAGTCGTCAATCCGCCTTAATTTCCTCAAACTCGGGGTATAAAGAGAAGACATCGGGTCCATAACTTCAGCTCAAAGGTCTCAAACCTCAAAAGTCACCTAGTTTCGCCATAATCATCTATCCCTTCTTTTACTTACCTTTTGTTTTTGACCTTTATTTTCTCAATTAAAACAAATGCAAACAGTGACAGTCAATCTTAATCAAATTGATGTTCACTAATCAATTAGCCCGTAAAATAATGAATAATGAACCTTTATTATCATTGTGTAGGTTTACCTTATGTTCTTAGCTCACCTTAACAAAACTGGAAGTTTAAAGGCCGCCAAGAAAAAGATAAAGATCGCCATTGACCAAAAGTTGATTTCTAATTTTACCCTTATATTATAAATTTCAAATTCAAATTTTAAAACTCTAAACTTTAATCCTACACTCCAATCTCCAACCTCAAACACTAATCTCCAATCTTCAATCTTTCTAAACTTCAAATCGATGGCCGGAGAAAATCGCCGTCGCGAAAAATCAAATTAAAGAGTTTACTATGTCTTTTGATAAATAAATATCTCAACGTTCCACTTTAATAATCGATATTGTTGTACTATATTAATTTAACAAAGAAATTATTTTTCAAAATGAATGGAGTAATATTTATGTTTATACATATTTTATATACAATTTCCCTCCTGTTTTCCACATGCTTTGTTTTAAAATAACTATTTACTTGAATCTGAATTTTTTTCTAAATCTGAATACCGGTAGGCCGGCAGCGGTGACGTCTGAAAAGAGATCGGCAGCGGTGACGTCTAAAAAGTGACCAACCGACCGGCCTGACGTCCCAAAAAGAAAAGGACGGCATGGTCGCCGTCCACCTTTAAACAAGACGGTACGGTCGCTGTCTTGTTATTACCTGGCCGGCAGCGCCACCGGCCAAGCCTTTTTATTTTTTTTGAATAATTTTTATTTTAATTATTTATTGTTCTTCGATTAATTTTTTTCTTTCAGTTTAGTAATTTAGTTTATTTAGTATATTTTGTTATTTTTTAATTTATTACGAAATATAGTTAGTTAGTAAATAACTTAATGATTAATTATTGTATAATCTATATATGCAAAGAAGATTCGTAGATGTATTAAGTTTATAAATAAAGAAATATTTTAGAAAAATATAATTTATTTATTAATAATTTGAATATTGTTTAGTAATTAATGGAATTACTTTAATAATATGACATATTAAAATGAATATAATCTGAATTAATCCTATTACATATAATTATGATGTAATAATGTATGATGAAATAATAAATTAACTAAATAAAATTAATAAATAAAATTTTTGAAAAAATAAAAAAATCTTGGGCCGCTGAAGTTACCGACCCTGAACACACGAGCTACTGTATCTGGCGTCCCGTGCAAAATGAGACCGCAGGGTCACTGGCCCTGAACACACAAGCCGCCGAAGTCACCGTCCCTTTAGGCCAAATTTTTTCCTTATAATATTCTTTTAATTGTTTAATATTGTTAATATTTACTTAATTATTATTATTATTATTTGTTAAATTAGTAAATAAATTTTGGTGAAATTAAGTTAGTTATTATTAAAATGATCGTTTTATTAATTAAGGTATCATGTTTTATAATTGTTTAGTAAAATTAGTGAAATAGTAATTAAAATATGTTGGAAAAAATATTTTTTACATAAAATAGTAGTTAAGTTAGTTAATATATGATTAAAACTTAAACCAATTAATAATTATAGTGTCTAAATCACTTATTTTAGAATGAAAAAATAAAAAGGACAGAATTATCTTTTTTACGACGGTCTTTATTCCAACAAAATGCAGCGACAATTTACATCAGGAAGAAAATAGTGGTGCCACCATGATCTGTAAAGAAAAATATTGTTTTTCTTTTCTTTTTAGGTTAACGATTGCCTTCCTTTTTGAAACAATCGAGGAAATTGACCCTTGCTACTAATTAATTGTAACTTTTTTATTGCATCAATAATATTAATTAACTGTTATAAAATTAATGCTAGACTACTAATATGAAACTAAGCATACGAACGAGGACAGACAAGAGAGTAGAGAGATAAGAGACTTGTATTCATATGTATTTTGAATCATGAATGAGCTCCCTATTTATACAAGAAGCAAGGGATCAAACTGTGGGAAACGAATCACCTATCATTAATATTAAATATTATAGAATCATATCTCATTGATTGTGAATAGAACAATACATATTAATTGTGGACGTTCAATCAAATAAAATAACATATTTCATAACACTTCCCCTTTGAATGTCCATTTCTGCGGAATAATGACTCGTTAAAACCTTCCTAGGAAAACCCCTTTGGGATAAAACCCTAGTGAAGGAAAAAGAGTACACTTCCGAATGTGATGTTGCCTCGTTAAAAAATATGTTAGGAAAACCCATTGAGACAAAATCTCGATCAAGGGAAAAAGAGTAGCGTGGGTTACTCCCCCCTGTGAAGTACGTCACTTGTAATCTTCTCGTTGCATGCCAAGCTATTGACCAGGTTCATGATTGTTTAAGTCAATAATAGACAGATTACTTCGACTTCTCATGTAAACAGTTGTCTTCATATACCTTTATAATTTTGAGTGTTTTATAATAATAGAGATGCATGACCATCATACCTTGATAGTATGAATATACAACGTCCAAGTCTTGACTAATTGATTAGATAAACCAAAACTTTATATGGTGTTTCAGGACCAAATTAGTTTACATCATTAATAGAAAGTCAAGAAGAAGGATCTATACACACATCAAGATTTTAATCAAGTGCGCACAACGGGTGTTGAGTATACAAAGGTCAAACTATTTAGACCGAGATTCTACTCAAGATCTTTCATTATCCTTGCTTCATGCAAGTAGAAACCTTTTGAACTTCCTTAGAAGTATTAATAACTATGATATAACTCTTCAGGAGTTTTATTTATATTCATGCTATTCGAACTTCGTGATAAGTTTCGATAATATTCAGCCTTTTGAAACTCTACAAGAGTTCGGTTCTAACAAAATTGTAAATGTACATATGGCTTATGAATACTTATCTAGTATTAGTTATCATCCTATCATTCAAATATAATCATAAAAACAGACAGAAAATCATGTTACAAACAACCATAACATATCTATATAATAACAAATATAGCATATCTATTATATTCAAAAATATGAACCTAAATATATAGACACATGAAGACACTATAACTTGCGCAAGTCTTTTGAACTAATTTCTCGAGAATTGGGAATCATGTCCCTTTTGCCTTTTTTTTAAAAATCCTTCGAGGATTTTCATATAGACGTCATTATTAAATATCAAGTATCACGTATTAAGTGATCACTATATTCAAGAGACGTATTTCTTATCTTCATTTGCTACCAGATTAGCAAATAACAGAAGATTATTCTTTTCATCCACCACAAGATAAACTGGACTTTGAGAAAAACTTGTACAACAAAAAAGATTGCTCGATAATCTTTTGCACAATCACCCGCCAAAATCTAGCCGGTAATCACTTGCCAAACTTCTAGTTCGTAAGCAATTTCAATTCTAAGTACACATCGACAAGTGTGTATTGCGTCTTTTCATTTGTTGCGACCAGTAAGTTTAATGTCTGCATCTACAATAGACTTTCATTTCATGATCCTCATTTTCATTTATTTTTCTACTGCAACATAAGCAATTTTCATGTCGACATTTTTATTGTTGGTCGATTTCATGTTCTTTGGTAATGAGATCTCACAATCATTAAATTTCCTAAGTATTTATATACTTCTTCTGAAAGTTAATTCACCGTAATGGGAAACTATTCCATTTCAAAATTCTTATGAATTATAATTACTCGTATTTGCCATCTCTATAGATCTAAACCTTGTCATTTACGATGATTTTTATCATTTGGAACTGATTGTTCTACCACTTATCAAATGGACATTCAATAATTGAGGTAGATGGTCCTACAGGAACATTATTCAAGATTTGGAGCTTGACAGCCTTTCGTATGTAACTCAGTCACATGTTTTGGTCAATTAAATATCTGGTTTTAAAAATTATCTCTTGAACTTCAGGTTCATGTTATCGAGGATCATCATGAGATAATTATATTGTCCATCTGATTTATAAATATGTTGTTTTAACTTCTCCCCCTGATGTTAAGACAACTAACTTGCTAATATGACGATTAACCAACTGAGCAGTTAATAATCTCCCTTTTGATAGTAACTAACTCGTCAAACTAATACGATCAGTCTATCGAGTAGTTAATCCAATATCAGTAATTTCAAACATTGGAGATTCAATATTCAGCATATATTTCTGACCTCTTCTTGAGGCTCCATCATTGTGTGCATTGTAGTGGAATAATTATAATATATAAACTGCACAAGTAATATTTAAAGATAGATATGTATGGTTTCTGATCGAAAGCCAATGTTGGGGAGAATATTTATAATGACCTGTTTGGTCTTATGCATATAATTGATGCCTTTTATGTGTCAACACTTTCTCAATTATACATGAGGTAATTACTTTAATTGAACACATGCAATAAACTATTCTACTGGACCGCTTCATTGTTGCTCTTATAGGCACTCAATGTTCAACTTCTATCATTCTGGTATTAAGTCATATACTCACCACAACTATCAAATCAACATTCTCGTAAGAGTATAACATGAAAATCGACAAGTTACCAAATTAACTCCATAATTAAGTTTCTGTAAACTTTAGGTTGCAAGTTACGAGAATCATACATGTTGCTATCTCATCGACATGTCGATTAATATTCTAATTTGTTGGAAGAAACTCTTGGTTCTCTAAATTTAAAGCATATAAACTTTCTTGTTTCGTCTTGAAACCAGAATGACGTAAGTAGTTATGCCAAATTTTACAATTTCTCTTCTGAACAAAACAGTGAATTAATTATTCAACTATACCAGAACAATTTCGCTCCACATGAGCGTTTACTTTGACAGAGTATTTGTTATTCAATTATTTTTAATGCACTTTCTTCTTTTAACATTCTCTTGCTCTTTTAGGAGCAAAGTTTGTTTACTATTGCTTTTCCAAAGGCAATGATGAATTCATTTTATTTGCTCTTCAAAGCATTTATTTGTTTTCACTCTCCGGAGTAATCATACTCTATGGAAGTTTTTATCTATGTTTACAAACTAATTCAATGCCATATGCTCTACTGGAGCATTTAATTGATTTCATGTTTATCATTGACTAGCATCACATTCAAGACGATTAATAAATCTACAATACCCAGAGAGGTAATATGAGTTGCACTAAGTGCCAGACATACTTTTGGCATCAACAAATTTAGATCTTATTTTCTTTGAAACATGTAGATACAAAATGTCAATTAAATAATATCATTACTGTGGTGGCCAAAAGACCACAACACCTTCAGAGTGTTTGACATATTAGACATTTTCATCTCTAAATTTTAAATCACCTTCAGGGCATTTGACAAAATTTGAATTATGATTTGTTAATCCATTGTCGACAAGACTAATGAATTCATCTACTTTCAATAATATATTGAAGATCTCAATAAGGTAATTGTGGGTATACATAATATGTGAACCCAATAGTTTTCTATGCCACAACGATAGCATTTGCAACATACTACTTTTTAATTTCAGATCGATAGTAGTGTTTTCACTATTTTTCCAACTTCAGGTGGTTAATAGTGTATTTGTTAGAATCACCACTATCATTTTTGTATGATCGTCACATTTACTTCAGGAAATGGACCATGTCTAAATTGAACATGTCTTCAAATTAATTTTCTAACTTCAGGTGAAGAATTGTATATATATAATTATTATAAATTTAATGTCTACAATTTGCCTTGAAATAATTTACTGTCTACTCACTTCAGGAAATGGAAGGAAATCAATTCATAAGATTTCATTCAATATTTTGCTATAATGCTACAACTGGAGCGATTATTGTAACATTGCTACTTTAGGAGCAATTTTATTTTGTTATCATTAATCTTTCACTTCGGGTGAAAAATTATATATAGTAATTGTTCACTTACTTCAGGAAGTGAGAAATTCCCAACTAAGAGTGATAAATTTTCACGAAAAAATAATAGTATACAAAGCAAGAAATAATAAACTGCTACACTAGGAGCAAGATATTGATGCAGTTATGATATATTAAAATGATCATTGAAAATTCTGAAATAATTTTTTTTCTTATGCAAATCATCAATGAAAATGTACAAACATTAGCTATTGTCAACATATATAGCAAATCACTGCACCATATAGTATTTCTACACAATAACGATAATTTACTTTTCACATAATTTTCACATAATAAAGAAAGCCTACAAGTATAGTTTTATTTCGAACGGACCAAACCCTTGTAACACAAACAATACATAAATATGTAGTTATTGGAAAGATATAAATTTGGTTATAATTACTTTAAAAAAAGCTTAAATTGAATCAAAATAATTGGACGGAAATTGAACAACCAAAAAGACTTAATAAAATCATTAAATTTATTGAAACCAAATTGATGACTCAATGGCGTAGGCAAACACATATATGAAAACGATGCAACCTGATTCTATGCCATAATGGCCATCAAAAGCGTAGATCTGTACCTATATTTGTATCCTGCGATATTTGTCACGACGCGCTGAAAAGATTTTTTAAGGTCATAGCGCTTCACGCGCTTTAGGTTATAAAAATCTTTTAAAATATTCGTTTAGACTTCAGGCCTTCAAAATCAATACGCGTGTTTCACTCGCTTTAGGGTATAAAAACCTTTTAAAATATTCACTAAGTCTTCAGGCCTTCAGAATCAATACGCACCAACTTCATGTGGTGGTAAAGTGAGAAGCTCTTTGGCTAGAGACTCGTGCTGATAACGTGTTATAAAATTAATGGTAGACTACTAATATGAAACTAACCATAAGAACAAAGAGGAGAGACAAGAGAGTAGAAAGATAAAAGACTTGTATTCAGATATATTTTTAATCATGAATGAACTCCCTATTTATACAAGAAGCAGAGATCAAACTGTGGGAAACGAATCACCTAATCATTCATGCTAAATATTACAGAATTACATCTCCTTGATCGTGAATAGAATAATACATATTAATTGTGGACATTTAATCAAATCAAATAACATATTTCATAACATTAACTATATTAAATTCTCTCAATTGTTATCTATATATTGTAATCCGAATTACAATATGGTATGATTTGTTTTAAGGTGTAAGAAAATTGATTTTAAGATATTGGAACTACTAATAATACTAGCTTCGTTTGCATTGCTGTTATGTTATTAGTTCACCCTTCACAGTTTTCCATCCAAATCACTAATTATCAAAAGAAATTTCTTAATTAGTGATTATTATAATTATTATGCAAAAAAAGAAATTATTATAAGTGCACATCTCTTTCTCATCATTTGTACTGACACCATGTAAAATTAATGAATCTTACCATAACCCAAATACTAACTAAAAGATTTGAGTTTTGGTTTTGTTTAACCACGTTCAAAAGAATAACGTCAAATCCCTCACCATCCAAAGCTTACTGTTAGTCTCTCTCCTACTAGCTTTTCTTTTTCCCCCTTCTTTTTTTATAAGTCCATGTATTTTTCCACTTGCATTTCTCAGTATCCTCCCAGTCCCAGAATGGCTGATACCACGGCCCTCTTCTTTCTTTGTTTCTCCTTATTATCTTCCTCCGTCCTTTCTCGTACGGCTCCGCTGAGCTCAGGAACTAACGTTCTTGACGTGTCTTCCTCTCTGCAGAAAACCGTTAATGTTTTCTCCGTCAGCAGCTCTAAAGCTTTAAACTCACTTGACAATGAAGAACACGAGGAGGACCCTTCTTCTTCAGCTAATAAGCTGAGTGTCAAGCTGCATTCCCGAGTCGGCATTCTTGAAGCTTCCGAAAAGGACTACAACTCCCTCACTCTAGCTCGGCTAGGCCGCGATTCTTCCCGGGTTAAATCGCTCCAGACCCGGGCAGATCTGGCGGTTCACGGGATTTCGCTGGCGGATCTGGAGCCCATGGAGACCCAATTGGATGTTGAAGCGTTGCAAGGCCCGGTGATTTCGGGGACGAGTCAGGGCAGCGGCGAGTACTTCACCCGGGTCGGAATCGGCCGGCCGGCGAGTCAAGTTTACATGGTGCTGGATACCGGAAGCGATGTGAATTGGGTTCAGTGCGCTCCCTGCGGCGATTGCTACCAGCAAGCCGACCCGATTTTCCAGCCGGCTTCTTCCTCGACTTTCTCCCCTCTCAATTGCCAAGCTCAGCAGTGCAGATTTCTTGACCTGTCGGAATGCCGGAATGATACTTGTCTCTACGAGGTTTCCTACGGTGATGGGTCCTACACCGTCGGCGATTTCGTAACGGAGACGATTACCATGGGCGGCTCGGCTTCGGTCGACAACGTAGCCATCGGCTGCGGCCACAACAACGAAGGGTTATTCGTCGGCGCCGCCGGGTTGATCGGATTGGGTGGCGGCCCGTTGTCTTTCTCATCTCAGATTAAAGCCTCGTCGTTTTCGTATTGTCTCGTGGACCGAGACTCTGACGCCACCTCGTCTCTCGATTTTGACACCCCTGTCGCCACTGACGCCGTCACCGCACCGTTACTCCCGAACCCGAAGTTGAACACCTTCCGTTACGTGGACATCACCGGTATTAGCGTCGCCGGTGAATCACTCCCCATCCCGCCGTCGAGTTTCAAGCTCAACGACAACGGCGAGGGAGGCGTGATCGTGGATTCGGGAACGGCTGTGACGAGGCTTCAGACGGACGCCTACAATGCGTTACGGGATGCCTTCGTGAAGGGGACTAAAGGATTGCCGTCAACTGACGGGGTTGCGTTGTTCGACACGTGTTACAACCTGGGCACGAGGAAAAGCGTGGAGGTCCCAACGGTAACATTTCGTTTCTCTAACGGGAAGGAGCTGTCGTTGCCGGCGAAGAATTATCTGATCCCGGTGGACTCATCTGGGACATTCTGTTTCGCGTTTGCTCCGACGTCGTCTTCGCTTTCTATAATTGGAAATGTCCAGCAGCAAGGGATACGTGTCACCTACGACCTCAAGAATTCCCAAATTGCATTTGAATCCAACAAATGCTGAAATTTTTTAACCGTGATTTTATAACACCAGTAAAGTTGTAAAACCGTGATTTTAAATAGATTGTTTTTACTACATGTCTACGGCTTTGGTTAGGTTAATTTATGGAGTATGGTAGTGAGTGGACCCCACCTTGAATAATTGTAACTTAAAGATGGGACCACAGCGATGTTGTTGTGTGTGTGTTTAATTATCAATGGACTCTCAAAATCTTTTCTTTTTCATGATGATATTGACAGTACTCCCTCCATTCCATAATAAGTGTCGTCTTACACTTTGCACATAGTTTAAAAAACTCTTAAATATAATAATAAAATTACTTGAATATCCTCAACCAACCCCATTATAAAATTATCCACCAATAGTTTCAACTCTTTTGAGGGTAATTTTGAAAACTTTTGATAAAAAGTACATTGAAATGTGAGAACGACACTTATTTTGAAATTTTTCCATTTTGTTAAAACGATACTTATTTTGGAATGGAGGGAGTACTATTTTTTTTCATGGATTTACTACTAAATTCTTGAAGTACTTTGGCAAATTGTTGACTAAAATGACTAATGTTGACTTATGTCGAGAAAATGTGGGTTGGGGATTTGGTTGTTTGCATGTGCGACACCTGGACGTGACTGCGTGATTAACGGACGAAACTGTCCGTTGGTCGGTTTTGGATTTTCCTCTGGATGCAAATATTACATCATCAATTTCAGTTCACACTAAAACTATCGTCCACTTAATTGCATTATTACTGAAAAGATGGGCTAGTAATGCGGTTTGCGTATACAAGATTTTAACTTCCATTGGGCTCAAATTCTGTTGATTAACAAACTAATGAGGCCCATTTGCTGTGACACCTTTGACAAATTTTTACGGGTGGTTTGCTTGCTTTGAAATTCTGGCGAGTTTCATCCATCGGTGACGTCTCATTTCTATTTGTGGCGTTGCAAGTTTATTGCAGTCCATCACCTCTTGTCTCCCCAACTTGTCAAATAATATGAATTCTTTTGGCCTTTTCTATTTCTGAATTCTTTTCTACATAATCGTTACATTGTTAACTTCATCCTTACTTGCACCTTTTATATTTGTATTTGACACGGACCATATCTGATCTCTTATGTATTCTACAATCTTTATATGATTATCGTGTTAGAATTTTTAACGCTCAAAATGATATCTTTTGAGAGAGCGGTTATATGTAGTTAACCAAATTCCTCCTAATAAATTTGACCATCGGGGGCCGTTTCATGTTTTTGTTGGGTATGGTAGCGGATAAGACACAAACCTGAAACGCTTAATGAATGCGTGAGAATCACTCTACCTAATCACTTCATTAATTAACTATATTTTATTTGTAATAAATGAAGCACAAATGACCAATGAGTATCCTCAACATTGCTTGAAAGTCTTGGCAATTTTGTGGATAAGATTCGTTAATTATTTGTGGGCAACTTTGTCTTAAATTATGTGTACTAGATTTGACACTTGACAGAAGAAATCCCCATGTGTGCTTGTCCGAGAGATTTATAGTTTTATATTACATTCAACCACCATTTCAAAATACATGTCATTTTATATTTGAAAAAATATTTTAAAATATTAGTCGTTTTACAATTTCAATTGGTTAACTTCTCAATTTTACCCTCAATAAATGATGCTAACTACTTTTCTAGTCTTGATTATAATTTCAAAATAATTAATGATGGATAAAATAGATATTTAACATACAAATTAATTGCTAAATATTATTTTCTTAGTTTACGTGTGGAATTTAAAGCGACCTACATTTTGAAATGGAAGGAATACTATGTTATATAACGTGTGTATATGCATGTATGACTTTGATTAACCTTGCGATTGGTCTATAAATCTAATTGTTTCCAGATGAAGCAATTAGACTGTGGACGATTTAGGGATTACTTGATTCATTGTCAAGTCTTGGATGAAGCTTTTGTGGACGACACAATATCAACATTTCTTTACTGAAACATAGCAAATTTTACTAGCTTCATTCGAAATTAGAGATTAAACGTACCTTGCAACTAATGGTTTGTGTTTGTCTTTTTTATTAGTACTATTTCAATAGTTGGAGTTTTCGCTGAATACCCTTGGAAGGAAGTTTCTTAAGATATGTCTCTCTCAAAAGTTTCCATATTGTATAATGCACATACTTCTTCCGTCCCATAATTAATATTCAGTTTAAATTTTCATTTCTCTCTCTCAAAAAAAAATTGCGGACTTGTTACAGCCTACGGACACTAGATATATTTAAATCTTCTAGAATATTTGATTCGCAAATATGATTAGACTGAATTAGCACCATTTCCTATCTCTCTTATTTTACATATATTCACACATAACTCCCTTTCTATAAAATTTTTCTCTGCGTTGATCCTACCCGATTCCGGCGTCAAAATGTTAATATCTAGCAAGTTTATAAATCCGTCTCTACCCTCTAGATAATTATTGCCAACCATCCTAAACTACTCATAAAAGTGAAATCTGAAATTGGACAATAATTTTAGAATAGAAGAAATACTATTTTTCGTCTTACGAATTTTTAATTAACCTGTTGCGCTACAAGACTATATATATATATATATATATATATATATATATATAGCTAGCATTACATTTTAATTTTAAAGCTGACATATTATTCATAATCGGGGCCAAAGAAATTTTCTCACTGTGCAAGATATTTACGGAGAGGCAAAAAGTGGCTTTATTATATCAAGCTAGCTTAAAGCCTTAAACAAGATTTCAACCAACTAAAGATTCATAGAATCCACAATACGTGGAGATATCCCTGCGCACACAAAAAATAGATATTTTTTCCCTCTTTTGTTCCTGACATTATGTGCTAATTACACAGGTTATTATTTGAGATGATATTTTAGATCATGTAGGATATAACTTTTACGAGAGAAAATGATATTCTTTCGGGTTCTGTTTCATTGCATTGAATTGGGACTAAGAATTGGAATTGGAGCTCTTTAATTCTAATTTTTGTGTTTCGTTGCTAAAAATAGAGGTCCAAGAATTGGAATTATAATTCAAGATGAGACTAAATTCTTTATTTTCAATTCTTTTGTGGGAGCAAATGATTGGAATCCAAATTCAAAGGACTTAAAAAAACACACGGGTCATAACCGGGTCATTTCCGAGTTATAACCTAAACGGGTCGCCCTATCAATTTTTGTCTTTTGGCCTTTTTTTAAAATTATTTTTTTTTATTTTAATTTTTTTTTCAGTTTTTTTCTTTTTCTTGTTTTTACTTTCAGTGCATCCTGGCGTTTTTCTTTTTTTTTGGGATGTTTGTCTCATTATTATTATTATTTCATATATATCATTTTAATAATTATCAATAAAATCAATCTAAAATTAATATTGTATCTTTTTTACAAAACAATCAAAAGTATAGCTGTACCCAGAAAAAATTAGTAACTAAATATTTTAGTTTTGGGTTAAAATTTTTATAACATTATGACATAGTAAACAACATAACATTTTCAATTTTTTTTATAGAAATTGTTCCAATATACACCTATACTATAATACATATATTTATATATATTTTAAACTATTCATGGCATCTTTTCACCAAAAATTATGTAAGTTGAGTTTTAAGTATCTATTATTTCATATATAATTATATACTAAAAATAAAAACATTTAAACATGTATTATATACTAATGTTAATCTATGTATAAATGAACCTAAATATTTCATAAACTGAATTTACAATGTTATATAATAATTTTTTTTAATTTTTGATATAAATCAAAACATCAAAAATTAAAAATTTAGGAAAACAAGGATGTTTTACGTGTTACTTGTTTGCATATTAAGTGGGAATTTTAAGTATCATATTAATAATTGTTATACGTAATAATATTTATTTTGTTTTCAACATAAATGTATGTACATAATAAATTACAAAATTGATACAGCAAATTAATTAAAAATAATAATTTGTTTTAACAAAAAAGTAAAAATTGTGTTAGTTAAACAACCACAAAGTAATCAAATATACATGTACATAATGAATATATTTATTTTTTTGTGTTATACATATCCATAATAAAATAAGTTTTTTTTTATAAAGTTTTTGACAAGAAGTATAAACTGTACTAGTATTAATTATACAATAACAAACTAATTTCAATTCTAAAGTATCCAAATATTTATGCATCCAAACACAAGAATTAGAATTAGAATCTTAATTCTAGTAAATTTTCAAGATCTCCCAAACAAAAGAATTGAGATTGAATTACAATATTAATATCTCATTTTCAATTCAATAGTATTGTAATTTCAATTCAATTGCAATTCAATCTAACCAAACCGAGCCTCATACAAATCAAATACAGACTATGACTAAGTTTCACGATTCAGATAGAAGCACTGCAGTCTGTGACATGCACCCAAGGCCTTCGATAAAACGGCCATTTAGGATATTCTGTGTACATTATGGCCGGAGCTAATGAAGGACTTAGTACTTAATTATATAGGGTTTAAAGAATGAGATTTATGGTTGCCCTCACGTTGTGAAAGTACAATAATTTTGTCTCTTGAGGATGCATCATTTCGGTAAAAGTGTGGCGAGGAAGACAGGCACAAATTTTCGGAGCTTAAAATTTTTCGATGCTCAATTTATTCACTGACTTAGTTATTAATTGAATTATTTTCTCGCTTTTTCGATGTATAACAAGTATGTGCTAACAACATTTTGATTAAACATATTTCAAAAGATAGAGGCTAATCAATTATTCATCGTAGATTTTCATTTTTAATATAAACTTTTTTTCTCTTGAATTGATTGTTAAGTCGAAATTTTTATTTTGGATGCTTTCTAGACAATTATTTCATAATGAATGAAACATATGGCGGAACGATAAATACTAGAATATCTATGATCAAATACAATTTTGATCTTATAGTTACAATTGGTGACCTTCACGAATCCACCCAAGCCTCTCACTCCCTCGCAGAATTCGAGTTCCAAAACACATAGACTATCCTTGCTAAATTTAACTTTGTATTTTATGACATTTCATTGTTTTTTCTTCATCGATTTGGTTATTATCTTCAGCGGATGGAATCTCAAATATCCACTCTAATAAAAGTAGAGGCTAGACATAAAGGGAATCAATAATTATAACACACCTTTTATGCAACTCCATAACTTTAACAAAAGGAAAAATATACGTAAGATTACTAGCTTTTTTTTTTTTTTTTTTTGGGTGGTTCATTTACTTGTTTGTTTTGATCACTTAGAGATAATATTATTAATATTGGTATGTTGTTTTCATTTCAGGACTAAATATATATGCCAAACTCAAGGTCAAAATACTAACATCGCTATCTTACTTGAGTAATCAAGTTCTTTTCTTTACATGTTGAAGTTGCAAGTTGCTATCTGCTATCCATGATGCATCATGAGAAGATTAGGTCTGGTTCTTTTCTTTTCCATTTTTTTTTCTCCCAAAAGAAAATGCAGACATGAAGTGCAAGTACTTCTCTTTACTTAACTCGATACACATATAAAGTCACCATGTTATATGAGATTGAAGTTTTCTTCTTTTTTTTTTCTTTTTTTTTCAAAAAAAAAGTGTACGTAACCAAACTAACTACCCATTATAATGCGCATATTTGGCTTTTCTTTTTTTCTCTTATTATTGAAAAAGAGCAGCACCATCACTCACAATGATGGGCAATTTATAGGTAATCAATTCCCCACGCGAGGCGCACTGGACTAAAACATGCATGCACAACACTTCTAATATTTATTTTTATTTGTTTTGTTGGTTAAGAATCTCAAAATTTTTTTTTTTTAGCTGGCGATGCCATCCGCAACTTAACAAAAAAATGTTTGTGTCATGAAATTCTAAGTAAAATTACATAAATACAAATATCAAAACTCAATGTGAGTTATTTTTCTGTGATAGAAGGAAAGTATTTGAAACAAACTTTAATTCAAATGATGAAAACATTCAAGGCCTACTAAATGGATTAGATCACAAAAAAAAAAAAAGAGAGAGAGAAATTAAAACACATATTCACCTGGCCTAGTCAACCCTTCAACATCCCTAAGTCCCAACTAGAAATGGGGTTTCCGGGTTAGCGGAATGCGACCCTTTATTGTGATCATTCGAGCAGCATGCATCAAGGACATAAAAGAGTGAGACTTTCACATTATATACTACTTATATATTCTTAATAAGTACCCACATTTTACCAAAAACTAAACGGAAAGACTATATACATTATACATTAGTCACTAGGGCTTTTTGACTTAAATAAAAAAAAAAATTAAGAAGAAACTAATTTAAAAGGATAAAGTTTAATAGTTGTGGTAAAATGCAAGGACTTTAGAAGCAAGATATATAGCCAGTTTGAAGGCATGAAAATTTTTGATTAATTGTTTGCCTATCAAGATGCATATTTATGTCAACAATTGTTGTTAGATAGTAGAATGCTAAAAATTCAAAATAAGTTATATGCGACACTTGCAATTGATTGTATCTAACCTTCAACCCTAAAAAGTCTATCCCTCACATTGATCGTTCACAGATAGGAGTTTATGATTACAATTCTCCTACTGTAATAGTATTTCCTTGAAAAATCAATTACTACTTTTAATTGGTGTAGATCTGCCAGGCAAGTGATGATTCCTTTCAGGCATATGCAATGTTTAGGGTAATGATGATGTCCATGTATTGTGAATTCTTTATGTCCTCCTTTTTTTTGGCTGTAAGATTCATTAATTTGCAAAAAGTTTATTACATTAATTTCCGTTGTTTTATCTTCCTTTTCGCCATCAGATTACACATCCAGATTACGATAAACCATTTATACTTTCTTGCAACATGGATTCACAAGTTAACTTGTGACCCTACATGAATTTCCAATTTTTTAGGTTTTTCTTTAGCCAATGAGTTTAGCGATGGTTATTACCAGGTTTGATTCTTGTTATCTAATTCTTATTATTATTATTTTTAAAAAAAATAAGGTGTAAAAGAAGGGTAAAAAAATTCAAAACCCAAAATACACACACACACAAAAAAAAAACGAAAGAAAAAGGAAAAAAAGAAAAGAAAAGTTAGGTTTCTCTGCTCGACCACGCGCGGAAATATAGCGTGGAGTAATTAATTTCTCACCAACATAATAATATCATAAACACATACCGTTTAATGAATTAAATGCGAGTAATTAATGGCCAACTACAACGCAGCAAAATTTTCATCGCTAAAAGTTTGCTCCACTCCACCATGTTGCTCCCGCCTGCTGGCCCCGCCCCACGCACACAGTCACACACACTACACCGCTCACTATGTGACTTCCTACATTCACTCTGTGACTGTGTGTATATATATGTTAGCCGTTGTATTTCAGTTACTTTCTTCCATTTCTCTCATTCGCCTAATAATTATCAGTTAATTTAATGTCAAAAATCCTTTGATGATCCAATTCCAATGGATGCTGACTTCAGTCCCAACTGATTCTGATCGGTCAAACACATTCAGGACCGCCATAATATCCACTACTTCTTCTTCTACTTCCATCACTTTTATCACCGTCTGTTTCATCTTTGTTCCTTTTCCTCCATCATGGCTGACCCGCGAACTTCCTCGTCGTCTTCCTCCGACTTCTCCGCCGTCCCACCTCCGGTAATCCCTCTTTTACTTTTTCTTTTTTTTTTTTCTTACCATGATGCTTGAAGGCAGTCCCTTTTTTTTGAGTTGGAAAGAAATGTTCTTTTGACCGAAAGTTTGTGGCTTTTTTGTCTGTTTTAATTTTGGGTTCTTTGTTAAACATTCACACACTGCCCTGAGATTGTGTGTGTATCTGTTTGTTTACCTTGCTGTTACCTTAGCAACTGATGGACCTTATTGTGCCCTTTTGATGCTTCGAATTTATGATTGAAATTGGGATGATGACCCGCCCAAGATTTTCTATTTCGTGCTTGGCTTTAGATACAGGGGAATGTTGAAATTATTTAGTTACAGACCTACAGTATGTAATTTGATTAGCCTGCTAGTTTCTGAAGGTTTAGCTCTTGAGTTTGAGATATCACGCCATGATCTTTTGAATCATGGAATTATCTCTGTTTGATCTTTATATTGATTCAGGGTGTTATTCTTACTACGGGATGTCTTAGTCATCCCATCACCAAAAGTTATTCTATAAGAAATGTGAATTTGATCACTTTCTCTTTTCAGATTGTGTACGTTGATATATTTGAATGTAGTTTCCTTGGTTATATCTCTTAGGGCTGCTCGAAAATTTTTTCCGTGTATTAGTTCAATAATATTTCCTTTTGTTGCTTGCAGAACGGTACGCAAGATGGAAGGCAGCTGCTATCTCCAGAGGTTTCGAGACATTGGCGGGATGTGTTTTGGCTAGCTTTGTTTGTGTTTCATTTGGTTTTGCTAGGTTTTGTTCTGGGGGTCTTTGGTTTCAATAGGTTTAAGAAGAAGGATAGGCTCAACATTGACAAGTATACGATGGGATTTCTGGAGAATCAGTCAGGATTGACAGAGGATTATTGGAAAATGTATGCTGTGGCTGCTGGGATGGGGACACTTCTTGGATGGATTTGGCTGTCTTTGCTTGCTTCCCGGGCAAATTCATTGATGAAAGTATCAATGCATATCCTTACCACCTACCTTGCAGTTATTAGTGTTCTGTGCTTTTGGAGTAAGCAGTTCCTTTGGGGTGGGGCTTTTGCTATTGGGGCAGCTTTGCAGTTTTTGTATATCGTCTCTGTCATTGATAGGTAAGATTAGTTGGTTTTAAGTTTTTTTTTTTTTTTTTGCTCACGTATTTATTGAACATGTCTTAGAAAGGCTCACTAATTTAATGATTCGTGAAATATAAACATCTAAACTTGTTACAGAGTTTATTATATGTTATTGGTAGATATTTGTTAGTTACTATTGTATAGTTGGATTCGTTGACAGGCAAAGTTTGATTAATCAGCTAGAATAATCTGATAGCTATACTAATAGGTGGCAAAAACATCATACTGAAATTACGTATGTTTGTTGTTTTGGAGTCCTTTCCATATACACATGGAATTCTGTTTAAGTCACAGCTAAAGAACTTACCTAAGTTTCAGATTTATGTCATCTGGATGATATAATTTCCGAGGTGGTTGAAATACTAGACAACTATGGAGATAGCAATTAAGCGAGTGAATACTTGTTTTTATGATTACCATGAACCTTGATTACTTCTCTTAAAAAAATTTGATATATGGATTAGTCAAGGCATCTCTTTCTCTGACATATCAATAATATATACTGAATTTGGTCATGCATTCATGTTGACTACTTTCTTTTTTCTAGACTTCCATTTACCATGCTTGTGCTACAAAAGGCAGTCAAAATGGTCTGGACTATTCCTGAAGCTGTTGGAGTCTCATGTGGGTTCATGATAGTCATGCTGATGTGGTTAGCATTATGGTCCTTTGGAGTAGCTGGTGTGGTGGCTTTAAGCCTTGGTGACAGTGGACGCTGGTGGCTTCTTGTGGTGAGCTGGCAAGTTTTTGCCCTTTGTTGTGTCTTTCTGGTGATGTGATTATGTTACAACCTTTAATTTGAGATCGAGCTTAAAAATCCCGCTTTTTTTTGGCTTGCAGCTGTTGTCTATTAGTTTGTTCTGGACTGGAGCAGTGCTCTGCAACATTGTTCATGTTATAGTATCAGGGATGGTGTTTCTTGTCCTTATTCATGGTGGCCGAGATGCTGAATCAATGCCTTCTAAGCCACTAATTAGTTCTCTGCGTCATTCTCTGACAAAATCTTTCGGAAGCATATGCTATGGATCACTGTTTACTGCTGCTATCAGGACATTGCGGTGGGAGGTATTAAAGCAATCAAGTGACATTTTGAGCAGTCATTTTTCTTTTGGAACTAGTCTCTTACTGCATCTCAGAATGTTATGAACTTAAGAATAATGACTGATGAGTAGATTGGATTGCGGATTACAGATAAGGGGAATCAGGTCAAGGATTGGAAACAATGAGTGTTTGCTCTGCCTTGTAGATTTCCTGTTCCATTTGGTGGAGACTCTAGTCAGATTCTTCAATAAGTATGCTTATGTCCAGGTATTTCCTTTCTCTGCACTGGTGTGATATGTCCCATGCTTCGGTTACATAAACTTAGCAATCACATGGATGGATTGGTATGTGTTCCAAGTAAAACTATGGACTATAGAGTTTCATGATAATCTTATTATTAAACACCACAAAGGAGAAAACTTTTGTAACATGAACCCGAAACTTGGATAGTGATCTGACCCGTTCGGTTGATGGAATGTTAAGAATTCTGGTTTTGATAGACGAGCCGTTCAGTTATTTGTTCAATTATAATTTCAGTTATTTGTTCAGTTTTTTGTCACTGAGAATATATATGTTGGTACTTTGCTCACTACATGTTGTTTACAGATTGCTGTTTATGGTAAAAACTTTAATCACTCAGCTAGAGACGCATGGGAGCTATTCCAGTCGACTGGTGTAGAAGCTCTTGTTGCCTATGATTGTTCAGGTGCTGTTCTACTGATGGGCACCATCTTGGGCGGGCTGATAGTTGGTACTTGCACAGGTATCTGGACAAGGATTCATCATCCAGAACGAATGATAATGGTGGGTTCTACCGCAATGTTGATGGGAATGATTTTGGTAAGTTGGTTGAATTTTGTACCTTTTTTTTTTGGTAAATGAATTTGGTACTTTTTATTAATATGATCAATAAACCTTAACCTTGTGCCTAGTTCTCTGAATTGCGACAGTTCTGGATGTCAATTTTCATCCTCGAAATGGCCCTTATGAGTGTGTGATTTGATTGATGTCAGGTTGGACTGGCAACGGTGGTAATTGAGAGCGCAGTGACATCCATATACATTTGTTACGCGGAAGACCCTCTATTGATACATAGGTGGGATGCAGAATTTTTCAACCAGATGTCAGAAACGCTCCACCAACGCCTTCAACATAGAAGTTCAAGAGCTAGGGAAGTAGTACATAGATATGACAGTCAAACCCAACAAACAATGTCTGCTTAAGTTAGCTTCTATTGTACTCGGATAGTTCTTTTGTTTATAGTAACGCCTCTCAGTCATCTAATCTGTTTTGGGTTTTTTTGCCTAGTTTGTCACCATGTTTCTTGAACCTCATTATTCCCTGTCTATGCTAAAAGTGTTTTTTTTTTTCCCTCTTTCCAATCTATAACTCATGTTCTTCGTCAAAATCGTAGATCTTCCCACTTTCCACTTAATTGCTTAAGTTTGTGAAAAACGAATCCAGATTGCAAGGAGGTGTCTCCTAGACAACATCCCCTTGCTAGAACCGGGATCTTTAAACATGACAGCACTCTACAGGAGTTCAAAACCTGATTGTTTCACTCAATAATCGCAACGGATCTAGGGGGAGTAAGACCTCAACAAATATCTAAAGCAATCGCTAATAAGAAAAGAAGAAAGTATGGAAAGAGCTAAAGTAAAGCTTTCTAAACTCCACATGCCACAGAAGATAAAAATTTAAATATCAACTGAACACCATCAAATTATATGTTTCTAGAGCTTATCATATCTTCACTTCAGACTTCAATATAAGTTTGCCACAAGCCCACAATACTGACTAACTCACATCTAAAATCTAATAAACTGAGAAAGTAGAGTAATTCCATGGCAGTTACTTCGGAACATCCCCAACTTCCTGGCTAGAAGCTTCCTTGATTTCTGCTCCGGCATCCTCCTGGAACATGACCAATCAAATGTTATTGACCAAGGTCAAATGGAAAACAACTGACGGTTTTGTGCAAGTTCGATTTTTTTTTTTTAACTCAGGTTCGAAAGTAAACATGGTGTTTAGGAGCGAGTAAAAATGACAGAGAAATGCAAAGAGGCATGAAGACTTCTATATACCGGCACATCAGAAGTCCATAAAGTGAGATTGTCACGAAGAAGTTGCATGATGAGTGTGCTGTCTTTGTAGGATTCTTCACCTAATGTGTCCAACTCAGAAATTGCTTCATCAAATGCCTGTGATGAGCACACAATTTGTCAATTAAATAATTACGCTTCCATTTGATGTATCACTTATAGGATCCTGTACACTATACAAATTGCATGGAATGTCTCATTATCAACAGATATCTTCTGATACTGGGCTCTACCATGGTTTTAAAAAAGGGAATAACATGGTTAAATCAAAACTTAAAATATACCAATGAATAACCCACTAATATTTTCAAAAGAAAACTAACCTGCTTTGCCAGAGAGCAAGCACGGTCAGGCGAGTTCAAGATCTCATAGTAGAACACAGAAAAGTTAAGTGCAAGACCAAGTCTGATTGGATGTGTCGGAGCCAGTTCAGCAAGGGCAATATCCTAAAAGAAAATATCAGAGAGAAATTACAAATGATGACCAATAGATTATGTGGAAAGAGTAACTACTCATAACAAAACTGAAACCAACCTGCGCAGATTTGTATGCAACCAAAGTGTTTTCAGCAGCTTCTTTCCTCTCCGCCCCAGTTTTGAACTCAGCTAAATACCTGTGGTAGTCACCTTTCATTTTCAGATAGAACACTTTGGATTCAGCAGTAGTGGCTGCAGGTATAAGATGCGAGTCCAGGAGACCTAAGATCCCATCACATATCTTGCTGAGCTCAGCCTCAATTTTCCCTCTATAATCCTTAATAACTTTCACGTGGTCTTCATTCCCACGGCTCTCTTCCTTTTGCTCAATAGACGAGATAATCCTCCAGGAGGCTCTTCTGGCTCCAATAACATTCTTATAAGCCACAGAAAGCAAATTCCTCTCCTCCACAGTTAGTTCTTCAGTATCCACTGTCTTGGCAACTTTTTCCATGAACTCAACCATCTCCTCATACCTCTCAGCCTGCTCGGCCAATTTGGCCATGTAAACATGATCCTCACGAGACATGCTGATTCAATTGAGCTTTTGTACTCCTACAGAATCTTACACCCGTCAGAACAGTGCAGATGATATTAACCATGTTCCATTTAGAGTAACAAAAGACAAGTAGCCACTAATGAAACAGCAGCTTCCACATGGATAAAGAACCCACACCATCTTCCCCACACAAACATCAATTCACCCTTTCATTGAGCCCATAATCTTTTGTGGTATCCACGCCAAAAAAAGTTCTTAGCAAAGAAGCATAGAGTAAAACGAAAAGAATTACGGAACAACTAAGTGATAAATCTTAGGCCATCTCCCATTTGTAAAACTCAGAATCTTGAGTTTCCATCAAACTACTCAACTTATCAACTGATAGCACAACTTGTAGAAAACTAAATAGAGTTGTAACAGCATACTGAACAGACTTAAAATGTAACGCTTCATTTACCAAACGATAACTATCTTTGCAAATCAAATTCAACTATATAGAGGGTAAAATCAACAAAACTCCACAAGAACTAACAAACGCAATGGATGCTAATTCATCAAAGATTGAATGTTCAAAACCGAACGAAAATATTAATAAATTAATCAAACAAACCTTAATCAGAAATAGATCCATAATCAAAACCCAAATCCCCTTAGTTTATTCTTTCTCAGAAACTACCACACCCTCACAGATCTCTTCGAGAAAGGGGAAAAAAAAACCCACAAAATATTAACAACAAAATTCAACAAAGATTTTAACTATTATATCAGATGAAGAGTGTAAATCACACTAAAAAAGATCTCCAAAAAAAAAAAAAACCGAATTTGCTCGCCGCAAAACAGGACTCACCTTTTCGTTGTTTTGAAGCTATAGAGTGCGATGACGAATCTTTTTTCAGCGCTGCGAAGGAAAAATAAATTCCTTAGAGGACTTCCCCTTTTTATTAGGGAACCGCGACCCAGTAAAAGAGTGAAAAACAAAAGGAATCTCACAGTAAAAATCGTTAGATTCGGAAGAGTCAAAGTACAGTTTTTCCAGTCAAACAAGGCATTTCTCGGAGTATCACCCTAAAAAAATACGACAATTGTTTTGTTTTAGTAGTATTTTTCTGAGCGTTGCAGACTGCTGACACGTGGGTTGTAACATTGCCGCTTCCTCTGGCCTCGTTAGGTCATTTTGTTTGCTTTGGGCGAGGAAAGAACTATCATTTGGGCTCTCGGGTTTTCCCAATTTTGGGTTTTTCTTCTTCTCCATTTTCCGAAAAGGGGGATTTTGATCCAAACCCAACAATGATTTGTGGAGTAATTTTGATTTGGGAGCATATCTTACTTTTGAGTACTCCTCTATTGTGGGCCTCCTGGCAAAACGGACCATTTGAGGTCTTCTAGAAAAAAATGGACAGTTTATCAACTTGACATGTTCTTGTACTACACTGCACTTCATTTGACCGAAGTGGTTGTGGTAGAGTGGAAAGGACTCCTCCACCCTTAATCATAGATCGAGGATTTGAAACTCGCCGTGGGTATGAAATAATCTTAAATACTTTAGTCAACTGTCTTACCTATCGAGGTACCTACAATTCAGCGAGAGGGATTAGTCACTGTTGCCGAGATTGAAGGTTGCAACTTGCAACAAGAAATAAGGATATAATGTTGTTAATTCCGGAATTCCTAAGAGATTGGTACCTAAAAGATTGAAACCCAGATCCAAACCGCAAGAACACCTATTAATAAAGTCAGCCACTACATCTATGTATGGTTGTATACACCTTTTAGGAAGTCTTTCAAATGGATTTGAGAATTATACACGACGATGTTTGCTTATTAAGATAAGTCAAAGGTGACCGTATTCTTAGTGATCGTGATCAATAACCCTACTATGTAGTGGAACTGGATAGTGTGATATGTGCATGTCCAAAATCTCTTTAATAGTTTCATTTCTAATGTCGTTGGCTATAACTCTAATACGTTGTTAAAAGTATGAAACTGTACAAAATATCTACATTCGGACGTCGAATAGCTACATTCCAAGTAGCAAATTCAATACTATATATACCAGCACTGGCGAGAGAAGCATTTGTCAAACAAGATGGTCAAAGTGGTCATATCAAATTATCAAAATCATCTGCGGTGTCTCTGATTTCTGAAGACTCTCGTTGCAGAAAAAAAAAAAAAACCAAATTAAACCAGAAAAACAAATAAGTGAGATCAGTGGTTTGGGTCTTGGCATCAATCATGGGAGATCAGGTTTCAACTCTCAATGACAACATTTTGAGTGTTTAGTTGTGCAGGTTTCAGCTTACACCCACCAGGAAACCTTTCAAGTACCAGATCGAGTGGTGTGCGCGTAAAGTCTTCCTCCAAATAGTATTATCCCCTTCCCCATAGACTCCACCCACACCTAATAGACTAGGTGCTTGTATAATATATGTAATAAAAAAAAAAAAATCAGAACGGATGGAATAGGATCACACAAACACCACGGATACAGCAGGATACTACGTCATTGAATGTACTATTTCCCGTTTAAAATGGTCACAGGTTATATTATAACCTAGGGGCTCTTTGTCCAGTTCTTAGCTGGGCTACTGGCTACTACTAACACTTGACCCCCAAAACGAAGAAAGAAAGAAAGAAAGAAAGAAAGAAACAAAAAACCCAAAGCCAAAATTCACTTCACTGTGAGTCTCTTGGTGACTGACGCACATCAGCAATCAGCTGAAAATTTTGGCAGGGAAGCCTTTCAAGCAAAACCCTATTCATCATTATTTATTAAAGCTTAAATGCCCCCTACCCATATACTACTAGTACATTACTACCACAAATATAAGTAAATAATAAATAACAACCACACCAAGAAGAAAGAAAGTGCTTCAAATTTCACAATTTTCAACTCGCCCGTTACTCACTTCTTTGCCCGCCACAGATTTTGAATTCATTAGACAACTACAACCGCCCGTGGTTAACGGTCTTATCGACATAGATATGGCAAAGTAATGACATATTAAGTGGTAGATGTTGTAACATTGTAATCAGTAATACTATTATTTTGTTTATTTCAAATATTGTATTTTTTTTTTGTTACAATGAAGGAGACAAACACCTATGTTCGCACATTTCTGGAATACGCTATTTTTTTTTTACATCATGTTCAAATTACGGTATCAAACCATTGTAAGTTTTCAGAATCCTGAACTGCTAATGTTACTAAATAATCTGTCACAAAATTAGGCTCTGTTTAGTTGGTTTTTTTTTAATGATTTTTTTATATTTTTTTATTATTATCTGTCCAATCCCAACATATCTTTTTATATTTTCAATGCACCTTTTTATATTCCCAATACAAAAAATACCTAAAAATACACACTTAAAAAACAATCCAAACATACCCTTAACTTCTCGATAAATATAATTAAACTCCGCTTTCCGATCTCGCTTCAAATATTGCAATCTAATGCAACAGAACTCTATTTTACAATTAAATGCTTCTTTGGTTTGATACTCCATCAGGAAATTCTCAAAATTCGTTACAATTTACATCCACAATTGTTAAGAAAAAAACGTCGTACGTCTAGTCGTTAAGTATTAATTATACTGCAGATCCCAAGAGTTAAGCACCCAATTAGACAGTAGTACAATACAATTAACTAAATCATACATCCAATCAGTATAGACATTAATTACCAATTCAAATGAATAACACTACTAGAGTACAAGCTAAGTCCCCCGGCCGGAAGGGGGGGAATAGTTTGATCTCTCTTGTATAATGAGAATAATAAAATCTGCCCTCTTCCCCAAAAAATACTGATGAAAAATTAATAAATATTCTCCAACTTTACAGGTTTCATCCCAATCTCATCAGACGTGATCAGTCACATAGGGTCATATGACCTTATTTATCCCATCTTTCTATCGAGCCCTATGTAGTAAGTCTACTTACCCTCCTCACAGTTTTCCATATTACCCTACAAAATTTATTCTCACACAGACACACACTACCGCTACACGACACACGTTTCTAGGTCCATAAGTACACAGTACCCCAGCGGTAATCAGAATCCCCCCATTATCAAAATAGAAATTAGCCTTTGCCTGCAATCCATTTTTTAGTATTTTCACCCGTTTAGAAACATACCCTCATTTTCTAAGCTGGATTTCAAATTTTTATATTCTTTAATAATGATTCTTCTATTTCAAAAATACTAGCATAAATTAGCATCCGAGAAAGTACAATCTCATTCTATAGATTGAGAAGGGTCTCTAAAAAAATCTAAATTCAATAACAGTTTGTAAATGTGTCTTAATTAATAACACTAATATCATCTGTCATGTTCTTCTTTTCTCCTCTGCAATTTTATTGAAAGTACTCTTTGCAAGCAATTGTAAGTAATCTCAAGCTCACGGAATTGATAATTCTCGTATCGCTTTAAACTTTTTAATTTGGAAATATTTTTTTTTTTCTCAATACTTAACCTGCCTTCGGCGAAATACTATTTTTATTTTTATTTTTTTGTAAACCTAAAAAATTTTGTTTCAGAAAAACAAAAGAGAGAAAATGTAGCCAATGATTTTAAGGTTGGGGCATATTGTCTCGAAAAGTGAACTATCGTTTGCATACAACACACAAACAAGACAACTTCTTGTGCTCCTACATGGCGCCACTTGAAATATACGAGATTCTCTTGGCATTTATGTGCACGTGACCCGCACGCTACTTCTTACCAATTATTCAAATTTCTTTCTGTATCCCAGAAAAATTAATGCATGCATTTCATGAATACAATTTTGTCATATACAAATGAAGTTATTTGTTTCTTTTTTCTTTATATATAGAGATAATATTTCATTGTAAAATCTTATAGCTTTTGTTAATAAATTTTAAAAATACTTCATTCTGAGGATTGAGTGAGATTGTTAAAGATTCACGCTAAAAGATTATAACTATTACGCGGGTGGAAATGCAAAAATGTTCAAGATGTTCATGTTTTTTATTTTAAAAAAAGTGTGAAAAAAGTTCTTAAGGACTAAAATAAACCTTCTTCATTTTCTTCTAGCAAACAATTTCAAATGAGAGATTATTATTTAGAGGACCCAAAAAAAATTACTGAAATGATATGAAATTCCTAAACAGGGGTCAAATCGAAATAACGAAAAAAGTTGAAGTACTTTTCTCTTGACTTTTTCCATGCAACAAACAACAAAAAGCTATAATAAATTATTCATTCACTCACAACAAAAACTGTACTCATACGCAACCTTCTGCTGAGAAAGATAGACTCAAGATTTCCCCTTTTAACTTTTTCCTCACTTTGCTGGAGAGAGTTTTGCTCTGCTTCCTGAGCTCACCTCCAGCTTCTCCACTCTTTTACTTCTTTTCACCATTAAGCATTAGTATCATTTATGGAGTGTTGTACTACTACTTGAAAAAGATTTCATATGATTCCTTCAACATTAATTTCATTTCTACTTTTGATCCCTGAAACCCATCACATATGAATACATGATTATAAAGAAACGCTTCATCAACAGCTACAACATGCAGAGCTTCAAACCTGCAGCAGTTTCTCCACTTACCTCCGTTACTCCTAACTCTCACATGTATTGCCATTCATCATCATCATCATCCTATTATCTCAGGTTAAGCCTTTTTCCTGTTTTGAATTACTTGACCCCTTTTGATTTCCCGCTTTAATTAAGTGTATTTGTGTTTTTGTCATCTTAGAGTATCTGTTGGATAGGAATTTCATGGTAGCTGTAAATTTTTATTGGGTGTGTATTCCATGGAAATTTAGTGCCTTTTTGCCACATTGTACATTTTTGTAGGTGTTCTTTTTCTTTTTTTATAATGTAAATATGAAGTTTCTTCTTTTTGTACCAAAAAAAGCTTCTTCTTTACTGACATTTGCTTGGCCAAAGTGGTAAGTGCTTTGATTCCCTTAAGCGAGGTCTCAGGTTCGAGTCTCGTGAATAGGAAGACAATGTTGGGAGAACTTTCCTTCCGAAAGGAGACAGACCCGGCTTGGTGCAGATCAGTCTGAATGCAATGCACTTAGTACACAATATGGAAAAAGAAAAAAGCTTCTTCTTTTTATGGATGATCTGAAGTTGAATAAGAAAATTTTCCACAAAGCTTCTTCTTTTTATGTTTGAGTTTTGCTCTGTGTTTTTAGTGTTTCATAGCGTGTGTTTGAGTTGGCTCTTTTTTTCCCGTCTTGTCTGAAGTTGAACACAACATAGTTTCTTGTGTTCTGTTCTGTGATGCTTCATTCAAGTACTTGTGCTTAAAATCGTTTTATGGTCTAATGCAGAGTTAATGATGTTGGTGGTGCTAATAGAAATTGGCCTAACTTTGTGGATCTTGGAGAACTTGAGCAGTCAGTATTTCACCAAGAGGATGCTGTTGATTTAAGCAGAAGTATGCTTTCTCCTTTGTGCCCTTCTTTCTCTCTCTCATTTGGTTAAAGGCTTCTCTAATAAAGATGCCATTTTTAAAATTCATTTTAGGTTCAATATATGATGACACGAAGCTAAGCACTGCTGCTGTTCGTACTAACTTGCAGTTTGGTGGGTTTGCCACGGTAAATGAATAGTTCTAACTTTGTGCCATTTTCACCAACTTTATAATATTTTTGTTTTAAGAGGGAAAATGATGTGTGCCTGGCCACATTATGTACTTGTAATTGCAGAACATGGGGTCAGGAGAGTTGGGTTCATCGCCATCAGGTGCTATGGTGGACACAGGGCAGTTCCTGATGCAGAAGGGAACAATGGTTAATGTGGGAGCTAATGGTGGTACTTTGGGAAATGGAAATTATGAGAACTGGGGTGAGTCTGGGATGGCAGATAACAGCCAGCAGACTGATACATCTACAGATGTTGACACTGATGATAAAAGCCAGGTCTGATTCATGTGTCTCCTTGTCTCTTCTGTAAAAAGTTTTTCTCTCCAAAAGTGAAATTGGGTTTTGGGTAAAGGGGAAAGTGGAAAGACGAGGGGTTGGAGATTACATTACTTGGATATTGAGTTTATCTACTGCCTATGAAATCTGAATTTACCATGTAATTACCTTTTATCACTGTAATTTCGTAGCAATTGTAACTTTTAGGCTTGGAGGTTTGTGATTTTAAAGTGGCTTCCCATGCGTTGTTGAGGGGCAAAACCTTTTCTTGGTAATTTTAGTATCAGTTCTTGTGTACCTTCCACAAAGTTGATGTATTTTCCTAATGGACAGAACTCTTAAACAATCAATGAGCTTAATTGTTTAAGGTATCAGATTGTGCTAATGAATATCTTTGCACTACTTTTCAGTTTCATGTTGTTCAGCGTGGTGTGATAGTTGTTGATTCAGTGGACCAGTCTGGAGGAAGAACTGGGGATCAGAAGGTTGGTTCTGTTCTTGCTGTATTTGTTGGAACCGATATGATTGAATCGTTTATTTTGATTCTCTCATTCCATTTTATGAAATTATATGTAGGCACTTCGAAGATTGGCTCAGAACAGAGAAGCGGCAAGGAAAAGTCGATTAAGAAAGAAGGTAATGTCTCCACTCCAGAAGTCTCATCTGTAACTATGTGTTTGAACCCATTAAGTCCCCAATGCAGCTGTCGAGGAAAATTGTCATTTGTATATCAACTGGTTCATGGATATCTTTTGGTCACTGTTGAGGAAAATTGTCATTACTACAATTTTATGATCTGAACCCTGTAGCCGTTGTTCCTTTTCTCTTTCCTAGTTTTCGTTTATCTCTCTGTCAACTATCTGTAATAATATTTGAGTTATTGAGTGTGATAATGGAGTCATTCTAGGTATGATTTACATGAAAAATGATGAATGCATTCTGGATGCGTCCAGGCATATGTTCAACAGCTGGAGAATAGTCGGCTTAGGCTCACACAGCTAGAGCAGGAACTCAAACAAGCACGCCAGCAGGTGGGCTCATTCTCTGTACTCATCCGTAATATGAACAAAATTATCACATATTTGATGCCTCTGTCAAAACCATTAACGGCTTAAAAAACCATATGATAAGCTAATGACCTAGTTTCTCATGATAACAAGACATTTCCTCTGTTCATGTAAATTCACAATAGAATGCTGCATTCAACCTTCAGTGCTGAAAACTATGCCATAATTTTGTAAATATATTGATAGTAATCTGAGACGGACTTTCTGCTTCTTTGGGGGGAATTGATTTGTTTGGTTCAGTGCTTTAAACGGGGCATTTTTTCTGATGAAAAATGTTGCTTTTTAATTATGAGGCACTTTTTTGTGTCATGCATGTGTATGAATCTGTTGAGATTGACAAGGGAAGAGAACCTAGGTTTATTTAGGTTCCATTAACCATTTCATAATACTTTTCCTCTTAAATCACTATATGGGCTTTGGTATTACTGTTGGCTCAATGACTATTGAATTGTTGATGGATTCAGGGTGTATATAATGGATATTCAGGAGATCAGAGCCATTATGCCAATGGAAATGGTAATTTATTAACACTGTAGCTTTTGTTATCAAGTCATTTGATATGCTCCCTTATATTCCATTACTTGAATATTTTTGACATGTTAAACTGAATCATTCTCCCTGATTTATTTTTCTGCTGTTCATCATCGAAAGTAATGATCCTGATATTTGTATTTACATATCCACTAAATCATGTCGGATGATGTCACTCATTAGCATCAAAACATTCCGCCCCTTGTAGATGTAGGATGATTATGTGATTTTTGTAGAGGAAGCTACTAGCAGTTGATTTATATGTTTTAAATACAAACTGTTGCAAAATTTCAAGTGTGCGTGATTTGAGATCTCACTGGATGGTAATTTGAATAGGGGCTTTAGCATTTGATGTGGATTATGCCCGCTGGCTTGATGAACATCAAAGGCTGATCAATGATCTCCGCTCAGCTTTGAATTCTCAAGTTGGGGACAATGACTTGCGGCTCCGTGTTGATGGAGTGATGTCGCACTACAATGAAGTATTCAGACTAAAGGATTTAGGCACAAAATCAGATGTATTTCACATGCTCTCTGGTATGTGGAAGACTCCAGCTGAGAGGTGTTTCATGTGGTTGGGAGGGTTCCGTTCCTCTGAACTTCTCAAGGTGATGTAATCTTCATGACCACATCAATTGGATTTTTCTGCTGTTTAATTGGTTCACACGTTTTATTCTAAATTTCTAACAATCTTGCGAATTATCAGATAGTTGGGAACCAACTTGAACCTTTAACAGATCAACAGTTGATAGGCATATGCAACTTGCAGCAGTCTTCCCAACAGGCCGAGGATGCCTTGTCACAAGGAATGGAAGCGCTGCAACAATCACTTGTCGATACACTTTCCCCTAGTTCCCTAGTTTCATGTGGTTCAGGCAACGTAGCCGACTACATGGGACAAATGGCCATTGCAATGGGCAAGCTAGCCACCCTGGAAAACTTTATTCATCAGGTAAAACTGTTGATCCTTATCCCTCTAATTCGTTATAATATTCCAATACATAAAACTTCAGTGCGTGAAACTAGGTCGGCCTGATACTGATATTATAAGCAAACTACTTCCTTTTTTGATATTAGGCTGACCTTCTGAGGCAACAAACTCTGCAGCAAATGCATCGGATTTTAACCACCCGCCAAGCTGCTCGGGCACTTCTTGTAATTAGTGATTATATGTCAAGGCTCCGTGCACTTAGTTCCTTATGGTTAGCACGGCCTAAGGACTAATCAAATGTTGTGATTTAGTATCTATTCTATTTCTATCAGCAGTACTACTCTAAATGGTGACTGTAGTTGTAACCGAATTGGCATCCGTTCCAGGAAGTCTCTACTATCCCTTTAGGTCAAAGAAAATGCAGATTTCAGGAAGGTCCATATCCTTAAACACTAATGCTAACTTAATTATAGCTAAGCCGCTGGGAACTGTGTGAGAAACTGAAGTAAGTGTAGAATTGAGACATGAACAAAATCCTTTGTAGGAAATGTTGCTCGTGTGAGTGTTGACCCATCCGAGATGTACATTATGAGAACTGGAGTACTGAATGGAAGAAAAGTAGTAACCGAAGAAACGAATTGAATATTCAATTTGCTAATAACTGTTTCGATTAAACTTTAGTCGATGTAATCAATGATTAGTAATTGTGGGACAACCCAGAATTTATGATGTAACTTAGACAAAGGGGGTTATTCACTTGTTGATCCTCCCTGTTCTAGCCAAATTATGTATGTGCATGAGGTAGAAAATTATCAGAAAGATGGTGCTCATCATGCTACATTTGCAATAGGCTTGTAAGTTCTTCCTCTTTCATTATTCTTCTTTCCTGTGACAATTAGAACGGCAAATCAGCCAAAAAAAAAATAAAAAAATTGTAGGCTAAAAAGATGACAAACCGATAAGGTACTAGTACAAGTTTTAGAACATGAAAATGGAGTAAATTTTTTTTTTGACGTACTGGGCTTATTTCTTCTTCTAGATTTTACAATCTGCGGTATGAATACTCCAGTTCCACTTCCGGGATTCCACACATTGAACACCCATCTGGGTACGGAATCCGTCGTCTCGCCGCCAGACCACTGATAATAGCATCCTGGCTGCTGTGTCTGCAGCGCTGAAGCAGGGCTGTGGGCGACTGTTTGGTGCAAAGATTTTGCACCAATATTTGGATGTTTATTCTCTTGATATTCATCATCATCATCTTCTTCTGCTGTTAAAATTAGGACCTGCCTCCTAAGTTCTTCATAGAAAAGAACATCTTCAGCAGACTCAGCACCATCCCACGCACCTAAATGATCCATTCTTGCACTAAAGTTTGAACTTCTATGATTCTTCTTTTGGGGGTGTACTTATATATAGTAGTTTGGAGAAGTGTTAAAAAGAATATGCTCTACTTTTAATAGAGCGTTCAATGTTCAAGGTCAATGAAGAAAACTGGTAGGGTGAAATTTACTACCTGAAAATCTTCCAAGTGGAGCCAAATCCATAGAATATGTCTGATTTTTTGTTGGATTGTGTAGTTGTTTTACGCATCGTGGACGAATTATCAGTTTACAACTCCACATTTTGACATAAATGGACCAAAAGAACGGTTAACCTGCCATTACAATGAATTGTTTTAAATATGGTATTTAACTTTTGTTTTAGCAATTAGTATCATACAATGAATTGCTAAAAATTTGGTTAAATGCATCTCTGTTTTGGGGGGTTTTACTTGTTGCGATTAAGATAATGTTCATGTCCCTATCATTTAGTTTTATCTTTGGTGAAAGAAGTGTGAACTAGGAGTACTTTGGTTTTGCATTTTTGGGATATTTCGTGCTAAAATCAGAAAAAGAGAGATCATCTCTCTTCAAGAATTCAACTGGTACTAAGACAAAAGAAATTTCCATCTTAATTAATTAGGGGCCGTCCGAACAGAAGTCTTATGCATATTTGACATGTGGAGGGCTTATAGTTTACGACCGCATTGAATTTGACTGTTTTTATTTTGTTTGGTTTATTTTTATTCTTTAATCTCTGACTTAAAGATTTGCTTTAAGGATTTCATTGCTTTCTGAAACACTCCCTCCGTCTGTCCAAACAAAAAAATTAAAGGCTCTTAGAAAAAATATTCAATCTCGTAGACTAATGAATCTCATTTCCAGTTTTGCTCTGCAATCTGACTAGTAATAATCTTGCTAACCACTAGAATGGTTAACCATACGGATGGAAGTCAAACCATGATGATGATGGTCATCTGGCTTCAGTTATGTTAAAGTCAAACTGATGGCAGACTCTTCCCTTGTTCTTACACAGTTGCTCCATTTTCTTTTTGAAGTGTACTGTTTAATAACGATCAATCAAAATGAGGATAATTGACTAGAGGATATGTTTCCTTGGTTTTCTTTGGTTGCCATATGGCCCTGTAATGATCGTAGAGTTATTATACTACGCACCTTAAGTGCATCTAGTTAGTTGCACTCAGACTTTTTTTTGATTATTTAATAATGGAGAGACTTTATGCATAATTATTTAATATATATTTTTTTTCCTTTTTCAATGCACGTGTTACTTCCCTTGATTTAGAAAGTTGGTTTTCAATTTTTTTTTTTATATTTTCAAATGATTTTATTTCTTAATCTGTAATGAACTAGACCAAGTGTCTTATATCATTTTTATAGTACTCGATTAAATTTATCCAATAAGATCCATCATGAATATATTTTTCAAAACTTTAAAAAATTTATGTTGTTGCGTTGGTCTTCCTAAAAGACGCTATGGTCTTACTTGTGTCTTTTAGGACAAAAACCTAGAGCAAACACCAAAAACTAAAGGCCAAAGATTAAAAAGCGAAAACCAAAGAGTAAAGACAAAATGATATTTAAGTTTTGAAAAACATATTTAAGTTTTGTTGGATAGATCTCGTCGAGTACAATCAAAATGATATAAGACACTTAGTCTAATTATTTACGGATTAAGAAATAAAGTGATTTGAAAATTTAGGAAATTTTTAAAACCCAATTCCTAAAATTAAGAGAAAGGGACGCGTGAGCTGCACATAACTCATAAAGACTTGCATGTTTAACCCTCTTTTTCTATACTAATTACCAAATAGGAGTCTATGTGTACCTAGCTACATGCACTTAATGTGCATGGTATAATTTTCAATCATCATATATACTGGAGATGAACATATCTTAGCATATCTTAGCATCAAGCTATTTTTCTAGATCTGTTTACATGGGTAGTATACTACAAAGTTGGACAAGGAGATTGAATTGAAAGAGGCATCTTCAAAATCAAAGGCAGCAACATCATTACTTATTTACATACCAAAATAAGTGCAGAAAACATGTATCAGAAACCTTGTTCTTAACAGTCTTGACAGTAGAACATACACAGGGAGGTATAGGCTATAAAGTTGACCTCCAAATGAAGTACTTATAAAACGAGAAAAGAAAACACACAAACACACATGCAGATGCACAAAGGCTACATTTCAGAATGGTCTTTCATCTAAACAATATGCTTGGTTTCAGGGAAATATAGCAGAAAACAAACATCCTTTTGCTTCTTCAGCTGTGTCCCAAGGCCAAAAGATCACTGCTCCACATTGAATGGTCTGAAAAGGGTTGAACACACACACACAAAAAAAAAGAAGGAATTAATAAATGCAGCTCCAACTTTTAAACAGGAAGAAAAGATTGACCGAAATCTAACTTGTGAACCTGCCAAAGAAGCACTTCATCACCAGTTCACTTCAGAATCAATGCTCTGGAGGATAAATCGAAAGCTTAAAGCCGCTGTTTTTGTTGCTTTTCTGTGCCTGTGCTAACTTCAACACCTGAAGTCTCCTAGCTGTGGAAGCCACTGAAGGATTGGTGCAATGAAGAACTACCATTTGAAGGGTAGGAATGTCCGCCAGACCATGTGGGAATGCCTTAAGCTTATCGCAATTATTGAGTTCAAGACTCCTGAGTTTAGGAAAGTGATCTACTGAGGCCTCCCAAGACACCAAATCCGTGCGTCCAATGTACAAGTGCTTGAGCCGGAGAAATCCTCCCTTTTCAGTCTGCCACAACTTCCCTTGGAATGCATTGTCTTTCAACTTCAGGACTTCAAGCTTCTCTAGCTTACCTAGTGTGGACATCTCTGACCAACCCAGTAGGGTATTTTGTAAAGTGAGCTTTGATAACTGTTTGGGAAAGCTTTTCTCTGAAGGTAAGCTATACAATGTGGAGGTTATATCGTCATTTAATAATTTCAAGTTCTCCAGGGATTCTAACTTGCGAAGACTGCCAAACAAACTTGATTCACCACTAACCTTGAAAAGCTTGGATAATGTTCCGCAAATACCCAATTTCTTTATTTTGGGGGTCATCTCAAAAATTTCTCTTTTGCAACTCTCAGGCGAGATAGTAGATAGGGTTTGAAGATTTTTACCTATGAAAGCATCTTCTCTACTTTTGTGGTGTTTGGGATCGAAAAATAAAGTGGTGGATGCATTGGTATGCAAGTGCCTCAATTGTGGCATATTTCTTATATCTGCTTTAATTTCAAGGCGACGGGATGTTGTGTTTACTATAAGAGTTTGCATATTCCACATGCAAGACATTGCTGGAGGAAGGCTTGAAAAGTTAGAAGAAATGGCTACGTATTTCAAGAGAACAAGATTGCACAATTCAGCAGGAAAACGAGTGAAAATGAGTGATTGCATCTCCAACACCCTAAGAAGCTTGAAGGCTCTTGGGATTGAAGAAACAAGGTTAAGTTCAACAGTTGTTTCCTCTTTGGCAAATGTTAAAAAAGAGCGAACCCGCTTACCTGAAATTCTTTCAGAAATATACTCAGGAACATTGACATTGTTGATGCAAAGACGGCGATATGTGTCTAACTCTGCATTTTCAGTCAAAAAAGTAAGGAGATTGGTTTTCTTGATTTCTTGAAACAGATTTTCTGCTGCACCTTCATTTTTGCAAAACTCTCGGAGAGTGTCATGCATACGACAAGTTTTAATTTTGTCATTTGACCTCCTTTGTCCAACCATTACTAAGTTTCGGTAAACAAGCTCGTCCAAATATTCCTCTGCGCGAACCTCCAAATTTATTTCCCCATCTTGCTGTATAAGCCCTTCAGCGATCCACAATCGCACTAATTTCCACACGGGAATCTCAAGGTCATCCCGAAATACCCCAAGATAGATAAAGCATGGTTTCAAGTAGTCAGGCAAGTGTTTATACATTACTTCTATCACTTTGGTGGTTTGCTCTTGATCCCTAGCGAAGTAATCCTTCACACTATCAGCCACATGTTTCCACCAGTCAACTCTATCTTTATTGTTCCAAATAATACCTGCAATAACCACAATTGCCAAAGGCAAACCATCGCATTTCTCCAAAATTTTTACCTCATACTCCTGCAATTCATCAGGGCAGCAATTATTTTCAAAAACTTTCCACCGGAGTAACTCCTGACTCTTGTCAAATGGCAAGAAGTCTAACTTGTAATATTCGCCTCTCGGATTAGCATACTCTGCCACTTTTACATGGCGAGTAGTTATCAGCACTCTACAACGTTTATCGTTGTTAGGAAAAGCACGTTTGAGTATATTCCAATCTTCTTTTTCCCAAATATCATCTAATACAATCAAATACTGCTTCCCTTCCAACTGATTGTACACGTACTTCTCCAATTGTTCATCGGACATCTTGTTTACCTCATCAGTTAAATGTGCGAATGAACTCAGAATTTTTAACAACACTTCCCTTTTCTCGTATTCCTTCGAAACATAGACAAATGCCCGAATCATGTACTCATAATCAACATTCGGGTCCTTGAAAACCTTTTTAGCAAGGGTTGTCTTCCCGAGTCCTAACATCCCAACAATTGAAATGGCTTCAAAATGTTGTGGTCCTCCTGTCAAAAGTTTGCTTACTGCTTCAGCTGCCCCATCAAATCCCACAACATGTTCTTCCTCAACGGTGGGAGCCTTTAGACAAGAGAACCATTCTTGTCAAGTTAAGAATATAAAGGAATTTGCCAAAGTAAAAATAAGCACAGACTTTTCATCATAACATCCCACCAAAAATCAAACTTGTGCTATTGGATGATTATAGCTACATTCCTTGCATCTAATTACCATCAAACTTTGCTACTCTTGAAAAGGGAATTTTCTCACCCAAAAGAAAATCCCTCTAAAATCATTTCACTTTTCATAAATTTTTCAGAAAAACTTCTAAAGATTTCCTCTGTCCCTATTGTTGCTGGTACTTACCAGAAGAAAAACTAGAAAGTATCTAATAAAAAAAAAGAAAAGAAAAAGAAAGAAAAACTAGAAAGTAGACACAGAAGATACAAGACGACTCTACTAAATTTCAAATCTAACTAAAATCAGCTGAAAAAATAAAACAGTTAGATGATAACTACTCTGATGAGAGTTCCCAAATAAATTTCATGCCAATTTCACTCCTAATAATCCTTAGCCGAAAACAAAGTCAAATGGTCGACAAAATAGAGCTGCCAAACTAACTTACGAATCAGTTCTTCAGTTAAATATATGAAGTCAACCAAGAAAAGAACCACGAAAAAACAACAAAGTTGCAGATTTGAATGTGGTTTGTGTTCAATTACCTCTTTATTAGCCGCTGGAGTTTGATTAAGTCTGGCAATTGCTTGATGCTGCAGGACCTCAAAACCATTCCTGACCTTATCCTGATTCATATCCCTTATCTTAGTACTCACTTTCTCGATCTGCAGCCCAACATCTCTGAGTTTCTTAGGATAATCGAAGATGTGGAAGGCTTTCTTGATCCAAGTTTGGGATTTCTGAACCGCAGCCTGTACGAGGTAAGTGTCAACCGCATCCTCGGCTTCGTCGACGATGTTCCGGATCTCGTTGACCAATTCCTTGAGGTAATCACTGTCGTGATTGTATTTCTTGTAATCCTTCATTAGACCTTTGAGAGTCTCAAGCTCTTGACGAAGTGTTTGGACATTCTCCTTTGCATCAACGATTAAGTGGTGATTATATGTTAGAGTTTGGCTGAGATTCTCTAACAGAAAACCCACTGCTGCGTCTGGAACTGACATTTTTTTCACTCTTCTCTTTTCTTGAGCTCTGTTTCAAACTTTCATGTTGAGTTTTGGATTGTCAACTGAAAAACTGACGGTACTAATGTATGAAATGGAACTCAGAGCTCAGCCGAAGAAGAGTATTTATTTATTGGGTGGATAACTTTAAAGTTTAAATTATCTAAATGCTCCTTTAGTTTCAAAAAGTATAATCTTAAGACCTCCATTAAAATGGAATGGAAAAAGTTTCTTACAGTTTTGGTATGAAAATACTCTATCTATCCAAAATAAAAGTCTCGTATATTGAATTTGAACTCCAATAATACTCCGATATAATGAATCAAATTCATATTTTGAAATGGAAAAAATAATATACAATAATTTGTGCACAAATCAATAGCCCAAACCAAAAAAAAAAAAAATGGTAAAATGAAAAAAATTCGCTAATAATTTTTTCAATAGTATAGATTAAATTAAACGAAGACAATAAATTTATAGTAATGTAAAAATTCATACTTTATTTATCTTGCTCTTATCTTTAGCTTTAAAATGGCGAGACATTGCTCTCGTTTGTAAACTTGGCCACAAAAAAGAGAAATTATTAAAATACAATGTCCAATTTTAATTAAATACCGAACTGAAAAATTGTGAATATTCCATATCGTACCTTCTTATGCTAAACACTTTATTAGAGATATAAATGAACTGATTGGCTAACATTGAAAAATACTTTATTACATAACTCGGAATTGTGCATCGTAAATGTCATGAACTGGAAAGTTCATTTGCTCAAATGCAAAGAACCATTTTGGTGATTGATTGATTCCCTATGCCTCCTCCAACGACTTCATGGGTTTTACTATTTGGTACCAGAGATCAGTTGACGCATTAGAAAAATGGCACTAGTCTTTCTATAATGTGTTTTAAGCTCACTTCTTCTTTTTTTGCCCCCTAATCTGCAACGCGGATACCACACACGCACTTTACACGGAATGTAGCACAGTCATCGTGGGAGTGAATGGTGTTCACAAGACAAGACTATGAGTGGCAAACATTTTCAAGGACTTATAGATTCATCCCAAAATTAGTCTATCTCTTTTGTAGTAAAACGGAAGAAATGTCATTTTTTTTTTTCATATTTGCAGGTTGTCCACCGTCGGTAACAGTGACTAATCCCTTTCGCTGAATTGTAGGCACCTCAATGGGTGGGACAACTAGCCAAAGTATTAAAATTACTCCATGCCCATAACGAAGTTCGAATCCTCAACCTATAGTTAAGACAACTATTTTGGTTAGAAATGTATTTTTTTAATTCGTAAAATATGAGTTCTCGGAGCTAAAGTTACTAGTACAGTGAAAATGATCTTTGTTTGAGACACACTAATAACTTTTTCAGAGCGAGCAGGAATCTAACATCAAATTGCGTAAAGATTATTCCACTAGGTCCCCAAGTCTTTTTTTTCCCCTCCCCCAGCATTCAAATACTAGATGATTAATCGGAAAAGCTGGACAGCCCCACTTTCACTTTGTTCAACTTTGTTTCTTCCTTTCTTAAGCGGGTCTATTTCCACTCCTTTTCTTTTTTTTTCTTTTTAATTAAAAAAAATGTTTGTTTCGTTTTTTTAGTATTTTTTTCTTAAGCGGGTCTATTTCCATCACAATATTAAATTTAGATATTTTTTGTATTAGAAATATAAAAAGGTGTATTGAAAATGTAAAAAGATATATTGTAATGGAATACTCCCTCCGTCCCATAATTATTGTCCACTTTACCTAAAAAATTTTGTCCCAAAATTATTGTCCAATTTGACTTTTTATGGATCAAGTTACACATTTGTCCTTAGTAAAAAACATTATCCATAAAGTCTTAGTGGTTAAACAATTACTTATGTAGGGATATATCCGGTTGTTTAAGGTAAAATATAGTTAAGTTTGACCAAAAATAAAATTTTTCATTTTAGTAAAAGTGGACAATAATTATGGGACGGAGGGAGTAGTTATTATTTTAATATTATAAAAAACCATTAAAAAAAAAACAAACAAAGCCGTGTTTCTTCCTAAAAGGTAATTACGTCAAAAGAAGAATATTATAGATTGAGAAAAAAAAAAAGTGGTATTAGGTGTTTCTTCCTAGTAAGATGCTCCGAATAGAATACTATATCCAATCACCTTTTTGATGTAAAAAATAGAGCATACACAAAAGGTTGTAACAATGAGGCACAATGTAGCGGAGTTGATCAGAGTGACATTATAATGTCCTTGCCCATCGTTTTTAATTGACTCGGGACAAAAAGTTTGATTTATTTAACAAATTTTTTGGGTGAAATTTTTTTTAATATCATTTGGTGTTTGATACAGATAATGTGCAATTTGGAGGCTGCGTGATTACTGCTATCTCAGCATCACAACTTTATGGTAAATTCATTTGAGCATTTTGCTGGGGAAAATGTACAAGATTTCAATGGTAGCCTAATCCGTCCTTTCGAAATCTGTGTGATATCAAACACACAGAGTTTCATGGTTTGAACAATTTGGACTCGTAATAGTTTACTCAAACATATGAGAAAGGGTGAATGGACATCCCTGGTTGTTCGTTCAACATAATCCAAGTTTGAATCTTATGTAAATCGAAGATAAGTAGAAGATGATCTCATTCAAGCAATATCAGGGTAAATTTGGAGGTTCTTAAAATGTAAATTTATTACAAACCAAGTGGAAGGAAAGAGCAGGCAAACTGGAAAACTGAAACAGAAGAGTTCCATTAGGTCCACCTTTCCAAGTCTTCTGGGATTTGGGTGTGGTCTCCTCATCCTGCAGGTTTCAGCCTTACTCTTGTGCAATTAGCTCCAGGGATCAGACCAATCCCTATAATTTTTGGATTTTGAAGATGAGGATCTTGCTGAAAAATGATCAACCAAAAGAACTTGTTATCATTGTATTAGCTATCCTTGGAAATATAATAGAATGAAAATCTTAAGAATGGCATTGAAAATAAAGTAAAGCAAAGCTAGTAGTAATTAGTAGACCATCAGTGCCTTACTATACTGGATTAGTAAAAAGAAACTTAGGTCAGTGTATAAATCGGTTTACTTACCTAGCAAGATTGTGGAGGTGGAACTCGTATTGCCCTTAATGATCTGGAGGATAAAATGAGAATTTGAACCCGGCACCTTTGATCTTTTTCTGAGCCTGAACTTTTAGCTTTAGTACCTCAATTTTCCTAGCAGAAGTAGCCACTCTAGCATTTGTGCAATAGAGATCAATTTTTTGTAAGGTGGAAATATCTCCAAGTTCTGGCGGGATGGCCTCAAGCACAGTGCAGTGCCTGAGAAAGAGGCTTCTCAGCTGCGGAAAATGGCTGGCTGCAGACTTCCATCTCACCAGATTTGTACTTCCAATATGCAAGACTTTGAGACTGCGAAAACCACCAGGCTCCGTGTCCCAAAATTCCCCCTGGAACGCGTTGTCTTTCAATTTGAGAACCTCTAGCTTCTCCAGTCTTCCCAATGTAGACATGTGTCTCCAATCTAGCAACGTATTCTGCAATGTCAACCTTACTAGTTGTTTCGGAAACACATTGTCGGGAGGAAGGGAATGCAACCTGGAAGTCATGTCATCATTCATCAACTTCAAGTTTTCAAGGTCTTCCAGCCTGATAAGGCAGTTGGACAGATTGGACTGGACATTTGGCTCCAAAAGTTCAACCAATTTGCCACATATGCCCAATTTCTTCAGCTTTGGGGTCTTGGAAAACACCTCAATTGTACAACTCCCTGGTGCAATTGTAGCTAGAGTAAGTAGGTTTGGATTACTTGGGGAATCTTCCTTGGGTTGTGGCAAACGCGTTGAAGCATTCGTTTGAAGATGCCTCAGTTGCGACAGCTTCCATATGTCAGCTTTGATTTCAAGGGTGCGGGATGATGTATCTACAATAAGAGTTTGCAGGTTCCACAAGTTTGCCACTTTCTCAGGAAGGACTTTGAAGTTGCTAGATATGGCAATATATTTCAAAAGGACCAGCTGGAGGAGTTCTGTGGGAAACCGGTGGTAAATGATTGACCTAACATCCAAAACTCTTAGGAGCTTAAAGGCTTTTGGGATGGTAGAGACGTGTTCAGGTGGCATAATGGTTTCTTCCTTAGCAAAGCTCAAAAAAGAACGTACAAGCTCTCCAGAAGGTTTTGATTTAATATATTCAGAGACAAATGCATTCACACATAAGCGACGCATATTCTTCTCGGACGAGTTACCAGACAAAGCAAAAACATCTTCAAACCTTTTTATTTCCAGGAAAAGATTTTCCTTCATGGATTCCTTCTTGCAAAAGTCTCGCAAGGTGTCATGGATTCGGCATGTTTTGATCTGACCAGTCAACCTCCTATTTGCCGCCATCACCAGATTTCGATCGACCAACTCTTCCAAGTAATCCTCAGCTATATCCTCCAGAGTCATATTACTACCATTGCGAGCAATCAGGCCTTCAGCAATCCAGAGTCGTAATAACTTCCACACCGGAATATCTAAATCTTCACGAAACACTCCAAGATAAAGAAAACAAGGTTTTAAGCTATATGGCATGTGATTATAACTCAACTTGATCACATCATATGTTTGTTCTTGATTTCTTGCATCATAGTAATTCACATCTTCAGCCACTCTTCTCCACCAGTCGGTTCTCTCTCGTTGATTCACAAGAATACCTGCAATCACAACTATTGCAAGTGGAAGTCCAGCACATTTTTTCAATATACGTACCTCGTACTCTTCTTTATCTGCCGGACAACTATTCTCACCAAAAACCTTCCTTCGGAGTAATTCTTGACTCTCTTCCGGATACAAAAACCGGAGATTATAAGGGTCAATGTTCTTATTGGCTGCAACTGCTACAGGTTTGTTGCGACTAGTGATTAGAATTCTACTAGACTTGTTGTTGTTGGGGAAAGCAACTTTGAGATCATTCCATGCTTCGGGGGTCCAAACATCATCCATCACAATCAGATACTTCCTTGTTTTCAATTGTTCATTGAGGCGCTCAGCCAATTCGTCATCTGACATCTTCTGTGTCTGCTCATTTGTTTGACCAAAACTAGCCAAAATTTTCAGGAATACTTCTTTCCTCTCGTACTCTTGAGAAACATTGACAAATACACGAGTGTAGAACTCGTATTCAATTCTTGGGTCACTAAAGACTTTTTTGGCAAGTGTTGTCTTCCCTAACCCCAGCATCCCAATGATTGAAATTACTTCCAAATTTTTTGATTTGTCTTCACCGGCAAGCAGTTCATAAACTTCCTGAGCAGCATCTTCAAAACCAACCACATTATCTTCAACAATAGGTGTCTGAAAAAGACAACTCATGATTCAGATAATATTTTGAAGTAGAGAAGAACAACAAGCAAACATAATGAGAGACAACGTATATTATACTATACAAGAGAAAAAGAGTGCATCATTTAAATGTTAACACATGTGTGGCTTGGTTACTAGAAATGCACCCATTACCATCATAATACTATCACCTGATCACGTGTTTGGAACCAATGAAACATGTTACAAATGTTGGAAATACTTCTTCCAAACCATTTCAGAAGCAATTAGCAGCAATTATGTTCTAGGACTGGTTTCTCAAACATTGCTCATCAGTGGTAGTACAAGAGGAGGGCCTGGTGCATTTTTAGGGAAGAAGTAAGCTCAACCCTTTTCCCAAAGAAAACAAACAGAACTATGAATAAACTCATTTGCTACCCTCAGTAAACTCATCTGCAACATTCTTCTAATTTTGATACCATTACCGTTTGCACATATAAAACCAATCCCAAATCAAATCCTAATCATTTTCTTTCCCCACCTTACGAAAGTCTACAGTAAATACTCATCAACCATTAAACAAAAAAAAGAAGAAAAAAAAAAAATTTCAGATCAGATCCCATAAAAGAAGCATTTTTTATTCTAACCTTTTTCTTCTTCTGATCCTTGTTAGCATTCTCCTCAATTTGCATAGCAGCGAGTCCAATTTGAGCCTCGGTGTTGTAAATCGCCTTCACCTCCTTGCTCACCTTCCTAATCTCTTTGGCAACAGTTTTCAAGTCTGACATGTAGGATAACCATTGAACTGCTTTATTGACTCCGGTCCTCTGTTTCTGCTGAGAGGCACAGTAGATATACTTTTCAATGGCATCCTCAGCCCGATAAACCGCAGACCTGATTTTGTTGGCCAATGTCTCGAGAATGTCGTTGTCCTGATACTTTTGGGTGTAAGTCTTGACGAATGCTTTTAGGGTATCAAGATCTCCACTCAGCTCCTTTGCATCATCCTTCACTCCACTCAACAAATCAGAATTGTATTGAATTGATTCTTTCAGGTTTTGTAGGATAAATCCTACTGCAGCATCTAGAGACATTTTGGAAATTTTTTTGAATTGGAAAAGGAAAGGAAGAACTGAAGTGGTTGAAGTTTAGTTGAAGGAAATGATAAGCATTTCTGCAAGTGCTTCAACGGTTTTAGCAGAGGCAGTTGACTTTGCCTCCAAAAACAGAAGACTTCCCGGGGTTCCTCTATGCGTAGACGAAGACTTTATTTTAACGCGCTTATGGAAGTTTCCTAGTTTCTTCTAGTTACGCTTTCACATTCTCCGCCATTTTTATTCAACCGAATTAATAAAGCAAAGGATTAGTTGTTATTGCCAGATGGTAAATATCACACAATTTGACCATAAGATCTTTGTTCTCGTCAAGGTAGAAGCAGAACAATGAACATATATATCGCTTTGGGAAAAGGAGACTGGCCTAATCTACTACGTTACATAGAATGCACTTTGGACAGAAAAGAATCGAATGATATGCGCACACTCAACATAGTGTGATTCCAGAAACAATATATGAAAGTTCTCAAGACTTTTTTGAGATTTTTAATGTGATGGACTTTTATGTTTACTATTCTCTTCAATGGTATCAGCAATGAATCCTGACATAAGTTCTAGGGATCCTCCCCCTGTCTCATTATCAGCTTCATTTGCAGTCTCTTCATCATCATTTGATGGTATGTCCCTGTAAGGATACAGGCTGGCACAAACAATGTACCATATGAAATTTACAGCACTCAAGGCAGCAATTGTCCAATAGTATCGATCTAGCCGGCTCCCATTCAAGTTGTCCTGGAACCAATTCGGCTTTCCATTTCTCTTGCTAGCTCTGCCAACAACATAAACCGACAAAACACTTCCGATGATTCCTAGACCAGATAATCCAGGATTCAAGAACACGAGGTACTTCTGCATTGCTGAAGGGCTCTGATCACTTAGAAAAGGGGTAACACTGCTTTCATAAAATGCGTCGAGACCAGCAAGAAGGAGGTATTGAGGGACAAGAATAAACACGCTCAGTGGGATATCTTCATCCGGTTTCTCCGTCAACCCATTATCTCTGATCACATTTATCCTTCGCTTTTCGACTAATGCAGCAACAATGCAACACAATGTTGCTGATACTATAGCGAAACCTATGCCTATTCGGGGTGCATACCTCTTCCCCAAGCTGTTCGCAATGCTTTTGTACATATAGGTTGAAATTGCTTTGCCTGATGCATATATGATCAAAAGCAGTGAATCAGGTAACTTCCATTTTCCAAGCTTGTAATTCATGTGGTTAGCTTGCTCTATGAAGTATGTGTTTCCCAAAGAAGTCACCACTCCGCATAAGACTAAACTGATGCATATTGGAATCATATCAATGATGATTTTGGTTTGTTCCACTTCGGTAACTGTGCAAAGTATCCATCTCCTTGTCTCTGGTCCTTCTTCAATGGCAGCCTTGTCCAAGCACCTGATTAAACATGATATTATTCAAATTATAAAAAAAAGGGAAACATGAAAACACAAAATTACTTAGTCTAGTGACAAAGAACTATTAATTATGATCCAAACAAATACTAACTTCTAACCTCTAGCACCTGTCATACTAACTTCTAACCTCTAGCACCTGTCATTTTTAAAAGGAAAAGTGAAGGCAAGGGGTCGAACCTAAGTCGTTTAGTGTGATGCAATTCCTGAACTTCATTCTCACTATTTCCATACAATTCCGAGTCATCGGGAAGTGTCTTGAACATTTTCAATGTAGCTGCCAAGATGACCTTGAAAAAATTTGTTACTGAGCTTTCTTCTGATTTCTTATCCTCACACTCACCGAAGCCAAGTAGGAAAAACACTATAGCCAACAAGGTGCAGATTGCTGGTATTCCAAATCGGAGCGACCATGGTTTAATGTAGGGAAGAACAAAAAGAGCAATAACAGGGATAATGACTAAAATACAAGCACGAAATACTTTCTTCTTTTCTTTAGTCACAAGAGCCAACATTGCTTCCACTGGTTGGAATTGAAGGCTCAAAAGATCAACTTCGCCGCTATCACCAGGCTTATTTCTGTCTGTATTGATTGGAGCTGGTGGTGGTGGTGGTGGTGGTCGATTCCGAAATGATGGCAGCTTAAATTTTCCTCCTTTCTTTTTCTGCAATGCTTCGAGTAACATTTGATTGCGTTCATATTTGGAAGGCAACTCTGGCATTTTGGCTTTAGTCTCTGTAGGCTTCTCTTCAGGCTTCTTTTCAAACTGATTGACAAAAAGGGCAACCAGTGACACAATGTGCCCACTTATTCCCACAGCTATCAATGCTAAAGCTGTGTAGAAGAGAGCCTTTTGTGTGTGCCCGATACATTGAGGCTCATATGCTTTACAAGTTCCTGTGGCCTTGGCCAGAACTGGTGGAGTTGACATAGACAAAAACCCCAATCCCTGCAAACAGTTGCCATTGAACATTTTTTTCAAGGAAAATGTCCGAAAATTTAATGTCAGCAGTAATTGCAACTGAAGTTCTTTTATCTGAAACATGTCACTTTTCTTCCTTTATGATTATATCCATTACTATCAGCTAGTACCAACTACAGAGAGGATCACAACCAACATCCTAGGCCAAATCCATACTTAAAACGATTTAACTTAAGAGACTTCAACTCAAATGATAACTTGAGATCCCGGCCACATCCATTTTATTAGACAGATTTCACCATTCAATATTATCAAACAACCCTGACTGGCCTAAATTTGAACCCTAACGTTACTTATATCAATATCTCTGAGAAGATTGATATGCTAACATTCATCTGAACATTCTTTAGAAACCTTCTGGGAATGAAAATCATATGCTCAACTCATGTTTTCATGAAGTCAAAGAATATCCATTTATTGCTTCAAAGTTCATAAATCAGAGAGTAACCAATGCTTCAATGCGAAAATACTATAAATGCAGCAAACATTTGATCCTCAAAAACCAGTGGTAAGACCAAGTGAAGAGAGCAATTATGTGAACTATCAGTCATATAAGCAAGGGGAAAAAGCAATGGACAACAGAACTTACAATAACGTAGGAGAAACTTGAGAGAAGCAGCATCCATTTATTACCAAGACCAGCATCCACGAACCAGTAGAAAATTAAAGGCAAAACTTTAGGGAGGCCATTGGCTACATTCATAATTCCAGCAGCATGAGTGAATCCCAGTTTCCAAACATCAGTTAAGTATGTTTGCATTATGAACATCACATATGTCGCCAATAAATCCGCCCATATCAAAACTGATAACCGCGAAATAGAGAAATTGATGATGAGACAAAAAGTTCAATTCATTATTGATAAACCAATATAAGACTTGAAGAAACAAAATGCTCATTGAACAAAAGAAAAAAAAAGCTGCAATTTCTTCAAAGAATAGGAGAAGAGAAAACTAACCCATAACTCTCAGAAACGCCATTTCCAAACATATGCACAATGAACTTATGACCCTTCTGTCTTCTCTGCAGAGTATGATCAAAATGAGAAAGAATAAGAACAGAGGAAGAAAGTAATACCATTTCCACCAGAATGACAAGAACAAAGTTAATATCTTTCTTTACCTTCAAATCTGTTCCCAGATTCCCCAGGGGCCAGGTGAAGTACTAGAACTATAACGTATAAACAAACAGACTAACAGAGGAGAAATCAGAAACGGAAGGAAGATACAGAAAGAAAGTTCCACAGGTTGAAGAAGAAGTTACTAAGAATTAGAGATTCTTTTTTATAGTTGACTTGGCTGCCTCTGCTATAATATTCCATAGCTAAGCAATCATGGATAGATTCACAGTTGGCTCACTGGCAGGCTGGCCCTTATGAATTTTGTAATTGTAATATGTATGGGTTGTTGCCTATCAAATTTTGAAATAAAGAAAATAATTTTTCGGTAATTGTTAAATGCAAGTGTGATGAGTGATGAGTGAAAAGGTTAGTAAACTAGATTTATTAATTCAAGATTCATTATTCATGGTATATCATTTGTTAACTAGTATTAAAGTATTGCTTTTATATTGTAAGAACGCCAAAGTAGGCCAGTCAAAACACTGGCCTTTTGTGAGTTTTTTATTTTTTTCATTCCTAGTAGATTACAAACTTCTAGTTATCCACATTATGGTTTTATTATTGTTCTTTGCTGCACAAAGGGGGGTTTTACCTAGTAAGTAAAGTATGTGTCATAAGCGCAAAAGAGGCCAAAAAAGGGATGGTTGGAGATGGGGTCAAGCCTAAAGGCCATTGATGATTGAAGATTGAACAACAAAAAGGAAGAAAAGATTTATACAGTAGTACGTCGATAAATTAATATTCAATAAATTAATAATTTTTAATAATTAATAATATTTTTTTCTTAATTTAGGATCAGTACAAAAAGTGAAAAAATCAATAAAATGATAAGAAAATAATGTTTCAGAAAATATGTTATATATTTATAGATCCCAATAATATCATAAATTAATAAGAATCTTAACAAAAAATATTATCAATTACTATAAATATTTAGTAAAATATGAACTATTAATACTTATTTTTTAGTCCGTAGAGATGATATAAACTATGTATGGAGTTTTTTTTGTGTTCAAAATAGTTTTAATACTTGATTGATTCGGATGTAAAGACAACTGCAAATTAAGTAATTTAGTGACGATTCTTTTTTTTTCTTTATGTAAATTCTTTAAATTAATAATTTATTAATTTATTGATTATTTAATAATTCGCTAAATTAATAAATTTTAGTGGTCCCAAGTCCCAACACTATTAATTTATAGACTAGTGATGTCTGGTCGCGCAATGCGCGACCCTAACCCAATATATCTGTAAATCTTAGAAATGTTAGTATCTGGAAAAAAAATATTTTGTATTTGGCCCGATATATTTTAGAAATGTTTGAAGAATTTAGAAATGTTTTATAAGTGTGATCATAGAAATATTTGTATTTGGCATAAAAAGAAATTGTATTTAGCTCGGTACATTTTAAAAATGTTTGAAGATTTAGAAATGTTTTATAAGTGTTACTTCTTAAATATAAATAAACTTGATCAAATATATGTCTTGAAGTAAATGCTAGACAAAATATAAAAGCATCCTAATAAGTTTAAATATTAGTAAGATAATTTATTGATGTTCTCCATTGGTTGTGCAAAATCAATACTTAGTTTTGGAGATTTATAATAGCTTTGTACCAAGCTTCCTCCAAAGGGTATACGCTTAATTGTTGGAACTATTTCTTCCAAAAGTTTATAGGTAGTAAAACATCAAAAATATGATTTCAAAACTGGTTAATTGTTGAAACTGGTTCATCACAAATATGAGAATGAAAATAATGTAAATTTGCATAGCTTTTGAGTTATAGCGCAAAAGAACTCACCTCACTATGGCAAATAATAAAAAAAAAAGACAGTAAAAGATAGCCCATTAAAAATTGAGAAATTTATTTTTTTCTGTAGGTAAAAATGATGTATAAAAACACAAATAAACATAGAAATATCATTCCTTCCCTCTCCGCCTGAAATTCATAAAAGGCTTCCCCATAAATTAGTTAGAAAAAGTGACCTGAACTATTTATATGATGAGGAACTACAAAAAGTCCAAAAACCAAATCCAAAAAAGTATATTCTTGAAAGCCCGAACACAAAAAAAAAAAAAGAAACGCGCTTCATTTGCAAATAAAATATAAATAATAATAATAATAATAATAATAATAATAATAATAATAATAATAATAATAATTGATCAAGTGGGAGTATGAAACAAAATCAAAAGTAATTAAACAAAGAAAAAAACACACTTCATAAATAACTATAAACGAAAAAAACTGAGACTCCATAATTAAAAAAGAAAACCACTCTAATTGAATGAAATATTAAAAAAAAATTAAAAAAATCACACTTTGTAACAAGAACCCAATTAATCAATTCAATCCAAAAAAAACTAAAATCATACAAAAATTCTAGACTAACCATATAAGAAATCACATTATATTATCTGACAACGGCTACGGTAGCTGTAACGGATGGAGGCATAAAAATAATAGTAATAATACTATTCTTGAACGGGAAAAATAAAAAATAATAAAAGTCAAACAAATGATCTGTGGAAATAAAATCATTTAAATTTTAATACCTGTAATGGCACCACCACAACGACCGAAGCAAGATCAATGAGAATTTTTTTTCTTTTCCTTTGTGTTTATATAGAGAGGTAAAGAGAATATTTTTGAAGTCGAAATTTTATCCGATTAGGATGTAGTTGATTATCATTAATGAAAAAATTGAACATGCTAATAGGAAAGGAGTATATTTCACCACATATTCTCAATTGATGATTGATGAAAATTTTTTATTGTGGAGAAGGAATTGATTAGGGAGTCGATTGTCGTGGAGATGGGGATGAGGATTTGGGTTTTTTATGAACCCGTGATTTTTTTTTTTTTGGCGATAATAGGAGGTGGGGGTGGATTTGGACTGCATTATTGGCCTTTTAAGTCTAGAAGATGTGGAAACAAAAATTTATTTTAAAAATATGATGTGGAAATGCCACATGGCAAATGGTAGTACTTTTTCTTAAGTGTGGTTTTTGTTTCTAATATAGTAAGAAGTTCTACTGTAGCTACAAAGATTTAGTTTAAAACTCATCGCATTTTATGTCCTTTTTTAGTTATCAATGTGAAATTAGGATCTTATTCATAAACTTAACCGGTCGAGTTAATTCAATTGGTCAAAGCTCTATTCTAGTATACTTCTTTCTGTCTCCACATACCAAACATTATTGTTTAGAAGTGATTACTGGAGATTAGAAATTGAAGCAATTATTTTCTTTTCTTTTTTATGAAAACAAAATATTATGAATTAAAATTGAAACAGCTTCAACAACCATCTAACATTAGTTTAAAATTGTGATTCCATTTAATCACTGTAGTAACAGTATTTGCACACTTCATGAGCGCAAGTGTGAAAATGGCAAAATGCCAGAGTCAGGTGATAGAAATCTTTATATTCACGAAAAGAATGATTCTTTAATTCTAATAGCACGTGTTATTTTATCATTTATGACTTGTGTTGTGACCGTAAAACGGTAAAAAAAAAAATCGCCAAGAAATCTATTCCATTGCTCCTTATTCTGTACAGCTTTCACAAACAAAAATTAACCAAAGTTGATCGGGAATCCCGACCAAACTCCGTACCAGTTTAATAAGGTTTTTTGGTGCATTTGCTAGCTGGATTAGTTGACATTGAGCTTACTTTAATTAAAGATTAATTACATATGTATTATTTGAGATGGTATGCTTAATCATACAACTTCCGTGTAGCATATAGTTTTACTCCTCCTCCTTCTTTGTATTACTTCTTTCCTCTCAATGTAATACCTCCTTTGTCTCAATTTGTTAAATTTTTACTTTTGACTCAATATATAACAAAAATAATATTCTGATGTAATTATTTTGAAACAAAAAGAACAATTAACTTGTAAAACAAAACTTGTACAACGATGGATATTAAAATTGAAAAAATAGCTATTTTACTACCTTAGCTTTAGTCACTATTGGTTTTACAAATGCGTTATTTGAATGATGATATGTCCCTTTCATAAAAAAAACTATTATTACAAGTTAATTTACATGGAACTAATAATGTAAAAAAAAAAAAAAAAAACCAATGAGAAATAATGGCTTACGTATTGGAATAGATATTTCAATTAATATTGTCAAGTAGCTGTTCCATTCTAGCAAAGATGCTACTTTGATGTATAACCATTTGACAAATGACCTTCCTTAGTACGTAATTCAATATGGGAAAAGGGAAATGTATGTCAATATGGGAAAAACATAAGAAACGGTTGAGGCTCAAAGGTTGTTAGATTTTTCTTTCTCCTTCTTCTTCTCCTCCTCCCACCCCCCCCATTTTTTTGTGCATTCTTTGATTTATACCTCAAATCTGTCTCCATCCTCAAAAAGGAACGTCAAAATGGCTTTCTCACTATTTAAATTCAGTTAAAGTACAAAATGTCTTTTCTATACGTACACTTTTCCATTGAGGGGAAAAAAAACAATCTAAGAGAAAACATACAAATAATGAGGTGATGAAACTTGAAACCATAAACGTTAATATTTCTCTTCACTTCGAGGGCAATATGATTACAAGCTGATAATTTTGACATCTAATGAGATGTTAAATTTTTTAAGAAGTTTTTTTTTTTTTGAGAAAGTTAAAGAAGTT